ATTTGTAAAATTAAGCTATTTCAAAGTCAAAAATTTCTATTATCATTATTAAATGTTAGTATCAGAATTTTATCGTACACTTAATTAACTTTTATCATACTATAATATTTGTATTGAATGATTATTAAGAATAGAAATGTTTCAACCATTCATACTTTAACAATTTATTTTTGATTTTGGAACGGCACTATAATTATTAAATGTCAATATTAGTATTTATAGATTTATTTTTATTAATCAGTTTATAAAATTGATAAATGAAAATAAAAAAATAATGAAGATTTTAAAAATGTGTAGATCTATAAAATTAATTAATGAAGATAAAAAAGCTTGATAGAGATTTAAAGAACTTTCAGATCTATAAAATTAATTAATAAAGATAATAGTAAAGATTAATTAATAAAAATTAACTAATAATGATCTTTTTTAGGCATTGATATTTCTCGTATTGTTGGAGTATTCATTTGTCAGCTATTATTTAACCAAGCGTGACTATAATTGCATACATCGTCGTGTTTTTGGTACCACTGAACTTTATCCTGAAATGGAAAAAGTAAAAAAAAAATTATTTTATTTATAAATAATAAATTTTAAGCAAATTTTAAATGGATTTTAATTGTATTTTAGCAGTGATTCTGGTAAAATCGTTTTGAAGTGATTTTTTAATTTCAATATTTCTCTCTTATTTATTTATCTTTTTTTTTTTTTTTGGTTCATATTTAAGCTTTTTATTTATTGATAATAAATTTTGAAGTGTTTTAGAAGAAATTAGGTGCGCAAAATCCATCATTGACCAGCACAAGGAGATATTCCATAGACAATGGTCACACAAATATAACAAATACATATTCATTGACCGCTGGACTAACACGATGTTTACGTAACACAGCAGTAAATAATTCAAATTTATAATTAAAAATACTAAAATAGATTGATCAATTGTTTTCATAATTAAATTGAATTAATTTTTCTGTTTTTTGTTGCTGAAGATAGAAAAAAAGTTAAAGTAATAATAATTGTTTAATACTAACTTTATAAATTTGTTTCAATTTAATAAAGTTAAATTTTTTAAAGTGAAATTTATTTATCTGTTTTCTTTACATTATAAAATATACGTATATATATTGACTTTAATAATTAAGTTTTTTTTTTTTGATTAATTAATAAATGCTTCCAAAATTATCTTTCCAATGTATAAAAAAGAATAAATGAATTTCTGTGTCGGATTGTATTATTATTTATTTAATTAAATCAAATTAATTTTAATCTATTAAAGATTAATTTGAAACAAAAAAAATTGAATATTTCTTTTTAGACATTAGTTGCTAAAACATACAATGAACATGATAAAATTTTCAATAATCTCGACATTTCAAAGCCATGTCAAAAATGTATGGCATCGAATGAATTTGTTGCACGACAAATTGATCATTGTAAGTCATTTTAAGTATTTGAATCAATATATGTAAGTTATTTCAAGTATTTAAATTAATACATGTAAGTTATTTTAATGTAATTCATATTAAAACATATAATAATTTAAGGAAAGTATTCCAGTTATACTTGTAATTTATATCAATTAATTTACAAATTTGAATTAACTGGAATGATTTTTTTTTTTTTGAATTAAAACTTTAAATTATTTTCAATTGCAACCAACAAAATTCATTTTATTTCCACAGCTATATTTTATTATTATTTATTCACTAATTTAGTATATTTCTTACTAAATATGCTAATATGTTATTTTAACTTGTTAAATAAAAATGAGAAATATGGTTTGCTTGAGATTATTGTCACAGATCGTATTAATTTTTACTATTCTACCTTTTTTTTTAGATTTATAATTGCTTAATTTCAATTAAGTATGACAGTAATATTTTTAAATTGTTTCCATTAATTTCAATTAATGAATTTTTTTTTTTTGAATAATAAAAATACATATTTGCAAAAATGACGAAGTTTTTAAAGCTAATTAATGCTAGCTTTGATCAAAATCATTTTTTATTATTATAATCAATCATTTAAAATACATTATAATCATCAAACTATTTTTAATTATAATTAAAGCTAGCAATAATTAGCTAAGATTAATTAAAACAGTTGTGTTTTCTGTTTGAAATTAATCAAAGTATCTTTGAAGAAAAAAAAATTTTTTTTTTTTTGAACAAATTTAATAAAAAAATTTATGTATTTATTTTGTAAATTTTAAGTGATAATGAAAATTTAATGAATATTTTATAGATAGTCGAGTCATATTTCCATCAGTATTTTTACTCTTTTCCACCTGTTATTGGTTATACTACAGTTGGTACACTAACGAAGATTAATTAAATTGCACTAAAACAATTTCAACCAGCAAAATTCATTTCACTTCCATAACTTTGCTCTACTATTAATTATTGCTAATTAATATAATTTATGTTGTTTTTCATCCATTGCAATTATTAATTTATTTTACAATAAATTTATGCATAATTTTCATATTTTCATGCAAATAATATCATAGTGTCATACGTGTAAAAAACATCGCTGCGTGTATCAATAATGAATATGGTAGACGTATGACGTAAGTGTTGTACGCTTACTTTGTTTTATTAGTTAATATTTGAAATGCTTCCTTTTCACTCTTCATAATTATTTTAAAGCGCTCTTACCATATGCAAATTTTAGACAATTTATCAAGAAATATTACAGACAAATTTTATTATACTTATTATAAAATATTATAATAGAAAATTTTATTTCAATTATGCTAAGTTTAAAAATTTGCAATCTCTAAAGTTTAATACGCCAAATTTAAGCAAGCAATAATGCAAACACAATTTTGCACTTAAAGTTAAATCATTTGAAATGTTTAATTTTGGAATATTTAAATCATTGAAATATTTGAATTATTTGAAGTATGTAATAGTGCAACTGAAATATTTAATTAAGAAAAAATTACAATTCTTACTGCCAAGGAGGACAGTAAAGTTGAAATCATATTTATGTTTCTTTTCAATAAACTTTTAAGCTATAGGATTCCGGAAGGTAATGTAATATAAGACGTAATGTAGGGATACTGTGCAATATGGGTGCTACAAGAAGTGAAGTTGAATTCCGGACAGGAATTTAATGCAGTGATTAGTGTAGGTACGGAAAAGAATGTGACGCAGAGTTGGTGCAAGAGGATTCCGGGCAATGTTTTCATTAGTAATACTTCAGGATCCGAGCACATATGCAATATGATGATGCTATAAGAGATAATATAGGATTCCGAAAATTAATTTATTAGTAAAATTTCAGGACCCGGAAGAAATATGCAGCATAATGATGGTATGAGATACAAAATTTCACTATCTGTGCACTTTTTCTGAGAAAAAATTTGTTTTAAATTCAAATATGCAAATTTTAGAACTGATAGCATTTTTTGCTTTCTATTTAGCATAAATATTTACAAAAATAGAATAACTTTTACTTACTTTCTTATCATATCACTGTGAAGCGGTTCAATTATCAGTTAGTAAGTCAATAAATCATTTTAGATGACGTTAGCACCTATAACTTTCCATTTCATTTCTATGCTATTTTGCCTTTTTCTTTTATTTCATTTTTCATTTTACTTAAACAGTCAACCAAATGATAAGCTATTAAGCGGTATAATGATAATACATGATAAAATTTTAGATTAGCAAAATTATTCCCAAATAATTCAATATTCTTTCTTAATAATTGAAAAATATAATTTTTAATAAATATATTTATAAATTTAGAAAACAAAAAAATACATATTACATTCAAGAATTTTACGGAAAGAGTGAAATATTTCATACAACAGTAATAGTAAAACATAGGTGTAGAATTTTAGTATTATTCGAGATTTGTGACATAATATTAAATCATAATCTTTTTATCAAAATGTTTTATATAATAAAGTTATATTAGAGAGGAAAGAAGGTAAAACATAAACTAAAGGGTGAAATATTCAATCAAAATAATATTTGAAATAAATTTTTATCCAAAAAAAAAGTGAATAAACGAATAAAAGTATTGTTAACAGCAACAAGGATTTTACAATAAGACAACGAAATGATAACAAAGATAAAAGATCATACAAAGGTTTAATTTTTAATTCATATCCTTTAATTAATTATTTTCATATATGTTTTATAACTCTTATACGTCAATAATACTTAAATATGAAGCTAATCAAGTATACGTAACGTTATGAAGGACATATTATAAAAAGTAGAGAAATGGAAGAAAAAATTTCTGATATAGAAGTTACGTCGTAAGCTTAGTAATAAGCGTTAATTAGTGGAGGCCCTATACTTGCACACGTACACGTCGAAAATATCATTTTAAAGGAAACACGGACCTATAATTATGCAAATAGTAGGAGAAATTGTATGGAAAAAATATATGCAACAAATAAATTAATATAATGTGCATAATTTCCTGAATTATTGAAACTTTTTTTTTTTGCATTAAATTAAATTATATAATATTTAATTCGAAAATAATTTAATTATTGCAATTCAGAAAAACGATAATATATATGTGGAAGCATTAGGCCAAAAAATACCAACCAATTATTGTCAATATTTTCAAGGAATTATTAAAGGAAAAAAGGGTGCAAATGTTCGCATTTCACTGAGAAATTTCAAATTTTGTATAAATGAATTTTATTCAAAAAGAAAAAAAAAAGAGGGAAAGTAATTTATGAGAACATATCATTTCAGATGTTAAGAATTAAATTATCGATCAACGAAAAGAAAAAAAGAAAAAATTATGATTTTTTTTTTTTGAAAATTCATAATAGCATAGAAAAAATTAATTAATGATTAACTCACATCCTAATAGAAAGATATTAACACAATAAATATCCATTTCAACAGATCAAATAGTGATAAATAAAGATAAAATAGATCAGAATGATGATAAGAAAGTTGAAATACTAAAGCAACGATAATAAAGGCAATAAATTTAAATAGATTGGAATAATGATAACGAAAGCAATGATTATAACAAAAGTTGAGCGTGGATCAGTAGCGGAACAATTGCTGCAATTTGGTGATATAATTACAAATATTGATGATAAGAAAATTGAATCACGAAAAGAATTTGAAGAATTAATAGCAGAAATGAGCAAAAATGATTGCAATGTTTGTTTTTCTTCTCCATTAATGATAAGATTACCATGATAAATAACATAAACTTTATTTGATTGTCTTATCAGCAATGATAAAGTTATCACAATCATGAAATGTAACTTTATATTGATAGTTATGTTGCTTATCTTACCTTTCTTTTATTCAGTGATAACAAAATTACTATAACTGTGAGATGTAACTTTATATCAATAGTTATTTTAATATAAATTTTTTTTCTCGAAAAAAGTAAAAACAAAACTTGAATCGAATCATTTACAATTATATTTTAATACAGAACAGAAAAACTTCTACTTGTAGTTTTTCAATACTAAATCCTTTCAAATATATATATATATGCATATTTACTTATTTATTTATTTATTGTTTATAAATAATATTTGTAATATTAAATTTCTAAGCAATTTATGCATTTTTTTTTTAAATCCAATCAATTGTAATTAATAATTATTAATAAATAATATAATATAGTTTAAAATTAATGGAATTCGATTGAAAACAAAACTGGAAATGGAAGAGAGTCGTTTTCCGAAAGGTTATGAGCAAAATATGAATTATAAGTATCACATTGCTGTTTTATATTTCATTCAAAATTGCAAACTTGCGCTTTCTATTAAATCATATAACAATAAGGTTATACTTTCATTAATTTTGTTTTTGGAATTTTTTTTCAAATTTTCAATTTATACTGGACATTATAAATTATTTTAAAAAAAGTTAAAAATTAGCAAATTAAAATTTGGCAAAATAATAAAAGATTTTTAAAATAAAGTGTTATGCAAACATTTTTTGCATTGATATTTGATTTAAGCATTTTATTAATTAACATTTCTTTTTTTTTTTTTTTAATTTTGCAAAATCAAATTTTTTTGCACTTAATTTTTTTAATTCAAATTCGAACAGTAATTTTTTGTGTTTTTTGACTTTAGCATTTGTTCACATTTTTTAAGTGAATAAGAAAATTTAAAAATAAAAAAAAATTTTTTTAAAAAAAAAAGAAAAACGATTTTATTTTTGTAGCAAAGATTTTTTGAAAAAAATTTTTATAAAATTTTGAATACTGATTTGAAAAAAATGCATATTACAGTAAAATTAAATAATGAAAAACAGTAATTTGCTATTAAGTAATTCTTTTAAGCAAGAGATTGTAATTAAGAAATTAATTAAATTTTTAAATTAGGAATGAAATAAAATTATTTAAGGTTTACGTGACACGTGTGATTGAGCATACATTAGCAGGAATGAGTTTAGCAAAAGGTGATGCAATCTTAGACGTTGATTCGGTTCCGGTTACTACAGTTTCTGATACATCCAATATTATTTGCGCTAATTTACGGAAAAACGGTTATGTAATAATTCACTTTTTATTTTGTCTCTTTTAATTTATTTATGTTCATTTATCTTTTTTTTTAACAAAATATAATTAAAAGTTAATTCAAATTCTAAACTGAAATTTATTTAAAATTTAATTTATAAAATAATTCTATGATAATACTTTATTTCACAAATTATCGAATAGTGGTGAAAAGGTAATTCAAATTTTATATATATAACATAATCTTATGCCTCTGATAACGACTAGCAAATTATTTATTCTTAGTTTTTTTTTTTTTTTTTTTTTTTTTTTAATGAGGAAAAAATAATTTAAGGTTTTTGCTATCATACACAATGCATTTTTCAACATAATATTAAGTTGTTTATGCATTTTACGGTTAATAGCAAATCATTTGTTTATCGGAAAAGTTTTATTTCTTTTTTTATATAAAAGAATTTTTAGTGAAAAAAGTTTTAAAAATGTTTTCTTCCTAATCTTTTTATATGCAAACAAACTTTTATTGAATTCTGTTATTGGGAGAATTGAATAATATACTTTGGTAAAGTTCCGTTTTACAATTGAAATTTCTAACATTTCAGACTTTTTTATTTTTCTATTTTTTACTCAACTAAAGAATGACTCATAGTTTAGTTTACAATTATTAATTACTCAAAATAAAAATTAATTTAGCATTTTTCTTATTATTACATAATTCATACAAAGATTTAGTGCAAAAAAAAAAATTTCTTTTATTCATTATCGAAAAAAAAAAGATTTATGAATAATATCGAACAAATAATGTTACTTTTTTCATGTATATTACATTTTAGATCGTTGTGAACAAAAATTAAAAGTTAAAAGCCGTGAACATTTGACAATGAAATAGAATTTACAAAATATCAAAGACAAAAAGATTTAAATTTGTTTAAATTTTCCATTTCAGTTCCTTAATATTATTTTATTTCAACAAAACAAAAAAAAAAAAAAAGATAATTAAACTTTCCAATGTTAAATACAAAAATAATGCAAGTCAAATATTAATTTATATGTAATATAGTAATATGCATAAAGATAAGTGATAAGTATTTTATATAATTAATGTAATCAATTATCAGTTTGTTGGAAGTACGCAACATAAAAAATAATATTTCTTTTTTATTTGTTCATTTAACGACTAAAAAATAATTTAAATTCGAGCAGTTTTTATTCAATGTCTGGTTTATAGAAGTTTTTGCATCAGTTATTAAATTTTAAACTTGAATAATGATATAATTAATAAAGAATGAAAAATAATTTAAAAAATTTTTCAGTTTTTCAGAAAAACAAAAAATAAAAGAAAATAAATATGAAAAAAAGAAAAAATGAGACAAACTTTATACACAACTAATTCAAGCACAACTTTTCTTTTATAATCAAATTTAGGCAACTTTAGTAATTGAACAGCCAAATGATCCATTAGCAACAGCACATGTTCGTCTAGCGCTAATGACCGAAAAATCGATGGAAATAGATCTACCACTTGCGCCTGATGTAATCGATATCTGTCAACAAGAATATAAACGCATGAAACGAGATCCTGATTTAAAACCAAATCAAAATATTTTAAAAACTCAGGGGCAAGCTTTTTGCAAACATTTAAATATCATTCAAGAAATATAAATATTAATTATTATTAGGAATGGTTTATATTTAAAATAAAAATTCAAGTTCAAATTCATCTGTTTTTAGAATGACTAATAACTAATTTCAGTATTAATAAATAAAATGCAAGAATTCAATATATTCATTTCCATTCCATTCTAGTCTTTCTTCTTAAATTTTTTTCTAAAAAAAAGAAAAATTCATACAATGATGATATAAAAACAATTTATTCTTAAGGAATAATCAGAAAAAAATTCTTACAGAATGTCAAAATACTTTTAAAAATTCTAAATGAATAAATTAAAAATTAATATTGCTGCTATATAATTCATGTAAGACAAATTGTTTTTTAATAATAATTAAAAGAAATACATTGCTCACTTACTTTCATAATGTAAAATTTTTTAAAATTAAAAATCTTTCCACCGTTAACATCAAATTTAAATTATAAAATGAAAAAAAAAAATTCTTTTTCTAGTGATAAACCACGTCCAATTCATTCACGAATTCAAGTAAATGAGAAAACGGAAGATGTGCCGATTGCATGTGATGATAATCCGGCATTACTGATGAAAGTGCCAATAAAGTATACATCCGACAAACAGCAATATTTTTCGTTGTCTGATAGCAATAAATAGAAATTAATAATGCATAAATTTACAAATCAATTAAATAATTAATGAAAAAAGTAAATAAAACATAAGTAAAAAATAAATAAATAAATGAATTAGTCAAATAAAAATAAATAAAAGAAACAAATGAATAATATAAATAATAATAATAAAATAATGATGAAGCATGATCAATAATCGTAAACTTTTAATTCACTTTTGAACCGATAATCTTTAGTCACAACTTTTTTGTTACTTTTTAACTAATAAATATTTACATTTACTATCTTAATTTAAGAAGCATTTTGTAATACTTTGAAAGGAAATGTCACTTTATCAGTGTTGTTGTGTCAAATTAATCATATTATTTTTTCTGAAACTATGAATTTGAAATGAGTGATATGCTGACAGCAACTATATAAGTAAAACGGTACAGATCAATGACTTGACATTGACATCATTTCTTGACTTGATGACTTGACATCATTTCGGAATTATCATCTCAACTCAAGACTTCAGCTTTTGTCATCAGCCAATTCTGAGATGATTACTTCATACCCTAAGAAAGCTATCCCAACATTTTCTCTCATGTCGTTGCAGAAAAATGCCTATTAGTATTTTGCAAACTATACGAATGCATTATAAAATAAAACTTAGTGTCTAAATATATGCTTACTTTCGAGAAAAATAGCAACCGATATTATCGAAAAAAGCATTCAAAAACAATTTTTTGCCAATGTGTACAATGTTTTAACAAAAATTTCTGATACCTTAATCTGAAAATGAAGTGAAATTTAACGAGATACATTTATTAAATGAAGCAATTTATATTCAGTCAACCCATAAGACATTAAAATGAATTTGTCAGGGAAAGTGATGACAGTAATGATAATAACAATAATAAAAAGAGCGATAATAATAATAGCAATGCCATTAGTGCATTCTTTCAAAGAGAAATATACAAAACAAAAAAGCCAGGTACAGATGGAAAAGCAATCAAAGGCACAGAAAGCAGATGAACAAAAAACAATGTACTTACTATTTATCTATGGGCATACTAAACACATTATATCACATCACCGATTGAATGATAAGACATAAAATTCAAATAAATCGGTTTAATTTACAATCGATGATATCATTAGCACGAAGACATTTCGAGAAAATCATCATGTTCTCTTCGTCTAAAGTACTGTAATATATCAGAAATATGTATTTTGAAAAGCTTTCGCTTTAATGTGGCATATTCTAATAAAACCATATATTCACAAATCTTACTTGTCCAAATTTAATAAAGCATAATCTAAAACAACAAAAAATGTATCCTGTGAATTTAGTTCAGGTGAATTAAGAAAAAAAATTATATCCTAATTGAATGCACTTGAAAAAACTTTGAAAATCCGAATTTTAAAATTACGTCAAATAATTAATTACATTTGAATCTTATAGCAATTTTTTTGCCCATAATTACATACATCTTAAACAAATCAAACAATTTCTTCCATTCTCTACTAGCATTGCTGCTACCATTCGGCCTCACCCGAACAGCGCTGGAAGCAATGATCCTTACCACGTATGTGCATTATGCCGTCTTTCAACGTGAACTTCCACTTACTGCGAGCACGATGTACCTACAAAACCAATAATGACTTATATAATTAATAATGGCTCCTCTCAACACAAGTCTCCTTGTTTTGATTTTAAAAAAAAAAAAAAACTAATATTAAAAGCTCAGTAGTCTAAAATGAAAAACGTGTTCACCGGACGAAATCAAACTATGAACGACAATAAATAATAAAAGATAATAAAAAAGGATTACTTTTTCGAACTGACACATGACGAGATTCTCTGCTTCGAAAAGCCTCTCCACATCTTCATCGTCACTTTGATCATCACCAGAATTTAGGGGATCTTCTTCAGTTACCTGAAGTCATTGAGATTTCAATTATAAATCAGTAACCTTTATCGTACTGTAAAGAAACACTACTGAAGTAAATATTCAGTAAAGATATCAAATATATTTGAATAGTTGGAAGAAGCTAATTAAGAAACTAATTAAGTTAAAAAAGCCATTTCCGCTTCTAGTTGAGATTTTTTAGATGTCTATCCTATGAGAAAAATGCTTTAGCGTGAGCAAATACATTTCACTCCAATAGTGTGCAAAATTAACCGTTAACTGTGCATTTCAGGTCATGCAATTACTAGTAAAGCTTTTTTGACACCAAAAATGAAACTGTTTATTTTTTAATAATATAAAATGACTCATTAAATGATTCGATACCTGATCTTCGTCGTCAACTGCATTTCCTTCTTCACTTATGCGGTCAGCAATTGTCCTCAGCGGATCGTCATCATCCTCTTCATCCATTTCTTCTTCTGATGATGAATCACTCACTCGACTTGCTCCATCTAATTGTGCTAGCTTTTTCAATGTGCCTAGAACACAACAACAAAAATTAAATTTTGCTACTGCACTTTCACTAACCCGTATATCAAGATAACAAGTGGTTGATTTCGCTGATCAACAACTGAGTAAAGCGTTTTAACCAAACATCAAAAATACCGCATTTTCTTATTTTTTTTTTTTATTTTCAGATGTATTTCAGATGTGAAAGCAAGAAAAAAATTGCTAGCATACAATAATCATTTCAGATACCATAGCAGTTCCAAATTTTGCAGTTCTGTTTAAACTAATATGAATTCCACTGGCAAGCGGATCTACATTGACGTGATTCAAAAGGTACTGTATAATCAGCTGTTATCTTTATCCTTACATTTTTTGTCGGTTTTTCGCTCTGTGTATTTGCAATTTGTGCGAGATGAACCTGCTCCTGATGTATTAACAGCCAAACTTGTTGCTCCATCAAGCATTTGTATCGTGTCTTCCAGTTTTGGATTAGATTGTCCAGATTGAAGTAACTGTCTGTTTGCGGGTTGATAGACGACAGCGTTATTCAGGGTCACCGGAATTTGTGAACCAGCATTTAAAATCATAACGCTGCTGCCCGTCGGAAGATTTGCTGTCCCACTTCCTGTAAAAAAATGAGAACCAATCAGTGCATGGTACAATTTCATATTTGACAATTCTCGATGCCAGGTTTAGCTAAGGAGATAAACAACAACTCTGGATTTGACAACTATTCGGAGATTACAAATTTTCATGACCTCACACAATAAGATAATTAACAATAAGGTTCAACTCAAAATCTCACCATGCATCAAAAACTGCTGCCCCCCTTGTTGAATGATTCGTGCTTGACCTTGTCCAGCAGGAAATGTAATCATTCCAGGAGTCACTGTAGTTATCTGCGATGTATTCTGACTCACCGATTGTCGCTGAAATCACAATTTTATTAAATTTAGATCCAAAATTAATGAATGTATTTACATTGAACACATAGTATAATTCCTTGTCATACAAAAATGCAATTGCCATAGCCAATTTGTTAGCAATTCATTCCTTGAATGTTTTACTTCGCTTAATGAAAAAAAAAAAAAAAAAAAAATGAAACAGAAGTAAACAAGGATAAACGATATTAAGCACTGCTGAAAACCATAAATTAGACTATTCATAATATAAATAAGTCTTCGCTTACATTTTGCTTAACAGAAAGGACGAAACAAAATGAAACAAAGGCAAAAGGTATTAAGCATCTTTCAAAGTCATTATATAGACAAGCCACAATATAAATAAATCGTTAAGTCAATTTCGTCAGTTTCACTAAACACATACAAAAAATAAGCATATAAAAATAGGAAAAATATTATGCCTTTTATCACTTAAAAAAAAAAAAAAAAAAACTAATTATATGCCAGCCAAACTCGGCATGCAAATGCAAGTGATTTAGAATGAAAAATTACCTGTATTACAACAGTATTTGGATCACTGTTGATCGGAATATTGGCAGCGCTAATGTACTGTACCTGATGTACAGGCCTTTGTATGCTTGATGTACCACTTGCCTGCATAACCAATGCCGGCTGTGTAACTTGTGACGACGATGATGACGACGACCGTGTTGACTGTTGAACCAATATATGCTTTAAAGTACAGTAACTAAATTAGAGATGAAAATTTCTAACAGTGCTTAAAATATATACACTACAGTGCAGATAACCTTCGAGATGCAAAATAGAATCCAGAAATATTGGAAAGTAAATAAAGAAAGAATAGATGTTTAGTATCTCTTCTTCATTCCAGAAAGAAGTTACAAACTGAAGGTCTTGAAACGAAAAAATCATGCAATATCAAAATAAATGGATTAAATATGTCTGTTTGATAATAATTAACTTTCATCGTCACGAATTAATAATTCTAACCTTCATGAATCACATAATCATTAGCAATTAAGTCTTGAATCAAAAAAATGAATAAGATTAAATCCTATTTTAATAAACAGAGCAGGATGATTTAATTTAAGAAGTTTCTTTTTAGAGAAAACTAAAATTAACTATTCAAATATTGCAGTACATTTCACATTCTCAAAATGGTTTGAGTTCACAGATCAATAAAACCACCGTGATAATGTAGATTGCAAGTGACAAGTCTTTCTTTTCCACACAGTTTCCCAGTGTTCAAGTCTCCAAAGAAAAAATCCTTGAATACAGCTCATTGGCACATATCCATCTGCCCATACCCTTTAGGGTACAACAATGAAATGCATTTATCTTCAAAGCACCCAATTTCCCACTATGCAGCAAACAGTTTTATGATAAATACTAATGATGTAACTTTTTCTTCTTTGTATTTCACTTTTATCTTTTTCTTCCTTCTTTGAATTTCTGCTTTCCTTTCTCTGTTCTGAAAATCGAACCAATTATATAAAAAAGATATCCACCTGCCCATTCTGTGCAATGCGAACAGTACTGCCTGGAGGTATAGTTGTGCTTGTCATAATTGGCTGCTTCATCTGTCGTAATGGAGGTGGTGGCACATGTCGTGGACCATCCCAATCAACACTATTGCTTGCGATTAACTTTTCTTCCCAATCCTGAAAAAAGTGACCAAGTTAAACCCTGTGCAACAGCAATTCAATGCCAACTGAAAACTGAATGATTTTTAAAACTTGCAGTGGAAAGCAAAGATAATGACAGTGAAAATAATGATTAAAGAAAATAACTATTAAATAAAAAAGGACACTATAACGAAAGCGCGACAATTCTATACAAAAATGTCAAGCATTGCAATTCTTGTAAAAACATGAAATGATGACGTACCTTTTTGAGCTGCTGTAAAACATCAATATCGACATTTTCATCCAAAAACGCTTCCTTCACTTGTCCGATAACATCATTTATTACACCTTTGTATACATCTGCCTAAAAAGCTTTTCATTCCTTATTCCATAATCTTTGAACTATGAAAATCAATTATTATGTAAATACATCAGAGGCATCTGTTAAACCCAAAATTTTCACGGAAAACATTGCAATCTAAGAAATTTACATTCGTAAATAGCTTCAGAAAAATATCCTTAATACTAAGTACTCGGAAAATTTTACATTGAGTTTCATAAATGATTTATAACAGAATATCATGCTGAGGTAAGTAATGTCAGCACGTACGTTTCTGCATCAGAGGTAAATTTATAAAGGGTAATTGGAGTAATGTCGACCAAAAGTACTTATAGAAAAACATGAACAACAAATTAATGAATTAATTAAAATATAAACTAATTAACAAATTAATATTTTGTAAAGGACGAATTTATGAAATAGTTTAAATTTAATTATTCCATTAAATCCCAAAAAAAAAAGGAACTTACAATGGTGTGACCTGCTTGCTGTTGTTGTGACATCGTTCAAATAATAATAGGCGGAGAAATTGCTGCTACCGTACGATATATATGATACTAGAATTATATGAATTCGAAATAAAAATAAAAACAAGAAAAAAAAATTGAACTGACGAAAAAAAAGAAAAAAACTGACTGATTATAACTATTACATTATAAGTGCACTGTTTGTCATATTGATTAATCGATAGGTAAATTTCATCAGTTAATGTTGTTTTCTGCTTTTGCATACGTCAATTATTTATGATCAAACTATTTTGCGTGATATGTGCACAAACGTAAGTTAATTGAACTAACGTAAACGTAAACTCCAATGGACCACACCTGACAAATAACAACCAACCGCACCACACTTATTCAGCACTTCACCAACCGAAATTAACTAAAAGCGGCCTCTGTGGTCGGGCCTTTATACAAACAATGATCCCAAAGCATTTTTGTTATTCGTTTACTTCTTTTTTTAATTTCTAATAGACAATATTGGCATGTAGTTTCTTAGATTTTAAAGGTCTCTATAAAATGTATTCATTAATTAAATGAAACTAATTAGTAGTTTCTACAGTTTTGTTTTTTAATTTGCAATATTCAACTACTGGAATTTCATTTTTTTTTTTTTTTTTTTTTTTAAATTGCAAAGACTTTTATAAAGTGTACTCATTGATTAAATGAACCAATTAGTGGTCCTTACAGTTTTGGTTTTTCTAATTTGCAATGCAAAGACTTCGATGAAGTGTACTCATTAATTAAATCAACTAATTAATGGTTTTTATAGCTTGTTTTTTTTTTTTTTTTTTCAATTCGTAATAGGTAATTACTGAATGTAATTTTTTAAATTTCAAAAGCTTTTATAAAACATATTAATTAATTAAGTTAACTAGCTGGTGTTCTTTTTTGGTTTCTCTTTTTCTAACAGAAATACATTTTTTTAATTTTATAAATTTTTGCCATCATATATATAAAATCCATCATATATAATATTAATCAGTTACACAGACTAAATTAATTTTTGTTTTTTTCCATTCAAAAATTCGTAACACTGCAATAGAATTTTCTTTTGGTTTCAAAAGTTTTCATAAAAATTTACAAATTAATTAGATGGAGTAGCTAATAATTAATGCTCAAAATTATAATTAAAATATGAAATGTATTATCATTTTAACTCGATCAGTGTTGCATGAATTTGTCTTAATTAACAATATTTATCAGCGACTGAAAATTTCTTTAAGAAATTTTTTAAATTTCTTCCAAAAAAAGAAGTTCATTTGAATATTTTCAAACTAACAGTAAGACGTGATATTCTGATAAAAGTTTCTTAATTTGATAATTATTATCATTTAAGTGAAATAAAATATATAAAAAGTTTCATTGCGAAAAATAAAAAATTTTCATTTTTTTTTTTTTTTTTGAATAAAAAGAAATTTAGAAAATCAAAATTTTTTGCCTGAAATTAATGGAAAAAGATTGAAATAATAAATATAAGCCATTAATAGACCAAAAAAATTTGAATCTTTTTGAAATTTAAAAAAAGGCGAAAAAATAATAAATTGAGAAATAAAAAAGCAATATTTTTCGCCTTTTCTTTACTTAACTGTAACTTCCACTCTATCAAGCTTAGCTGAATCCATTTTATATTTTCTAGGCCATTAATTCAGTTGGACCTATTTCTTCTGGCTCCATCTCATCTAGGCTGCTTTAATTTCATTTATTGCCAAGTTGCTGATTTCATTTTAGGCCCAGTTATTAATCTCATACTTGCTGGACTATTAATTTTATCTCATTGAGGCTAATTGTATATCGATTTATATCAAAGGTAGCTATTTTTTATACTTATAAATTTATTTTTCCATGCAATAATTGTATGCTTAGCGAATTACAAATCATTTTTAGTTTTCAAAAAGAAAAAGAAAAGAAAAAGAAAAAGTAATTCTATTGATTTTTCCACACTTTAATTAATTAATTTGAAAAATTCTCATTTAGTAAAGAAGTATTTGTCATTTTTGCTTATGCAATGATTTTATCTTTCGTAGTAAAAAATTTTTGTTATTTTTGCTAAACAATACAGAGAAAGAAAAAATGAAAATTTTCATTTCTAAGTTCCTTTTTTTTTTCTTTGCCTTTATTAAAGTAATAATTCAGTTTTGATTGAAAAAGAAAATAAGCAGAAGGAAAAAGACGGAGGAAAAAGAAGAAGAATTCTTGTTTTATATTTCATAAATGTATTGAAACTATAAAACCGGATTTAAAATCCGGTATATTATCATTGCATATTATCTTTCTGATGCAATAAATGATAAAAAAAAAAAAATTGTTAAATGATTTATTGAATAAAATGTGAACGCGAAAGAAAAAAATGCAAAAAAAGAAGAAAAGATAAGAGTATGTTATGTTTTTTTTTTTTTTTTTTTTTAAATTAATAATTTAAGTTTAATTTTTTTCTTTAAGATTGACCGATGTATATTTATATTGAAATTGATTTACATTTAAAAGAAATTCAGTGATTTGTATTCTTCCTTATCGTTTTTTGTTATAAATTTATTATAAATAATTGTTATACTTCTTGAAAAAAAAAAAGAGAAAAATAATATATTTGCATTTGTAAGTTAGAAATTTATCAAAATTTGCTATGTCTCTTCAAAAAAAAAAAAAAAAGATAACAATATATTTATATTTGCAAGTTAGAAATTTATCAAAATTTTTGCATCTATTACTGTATTAATACTTTATATTTTACTGTTTGTTATTTGAAATTGAACAAAAAAAAAGGAATCAAACCAAAATTTATTTTATTTCTGACAAAAAAATCTACAATCAACTTTTTCTCTGCTTTTAAAATAAACAAATGAAATCAATCGTTTACTTTTCTCTCTTTTTTCCTTAACTTGTACTTTTTTAACCCAATGCCATATTATTTTTTTTTCGTACAATGAACATATTATGAAAAATTTGCAATAGTAATTTTTTTTTTCTCTCTTTCTTAAAATATTAACATCAAAATACTGATTAAGTAAAATTTATAAACCGATAATTTAATGAAAAAGATTTTTCAAAATTTTATGGATTTAAAAAAAAAAGTTTATGTTTATCTTAAACAGTTTACGTTAAACAAAAAAAAAGTTTATATAAAAAAAAAAATATTTTCAGAAGAAAACGAAAAATATTTTATCTTTCATTTTCAGTCATTTAAAATTGCAACAATGTCACAAAGATATCAATCAAATAAATCAAAAAAATGTTTTTTTTTTTTCTTTTTTTTGTAATTTTATTTTACTAAAACTGAAAAATGGAAACTATAAATAACTGCTAAAAAAAATAATAAAATTAAAAAAACAAACAAACCAAAGTCAACAATGCAGCATTGATTGTCTCGATTAACGTGATACGTAAACGAGAAATAAGCGTAGTTAAACGTACGAGCAAACGTCAATCTCCACCAAATGCATCAAATGACTGTCTCTTGCATTTTGCATTCACTATCGATGGGTATTTGTCTAGATGACATGTCATTTTACGCACCTTCCCATAATCAATATCATTTCATTTTAATTGTTAATTTCTCTCTTTTCTTTTCCTACGTTTTCCCGCATTATGAGATTATATTACTGAAAATGAATATTAATCTTATAAATTTTCAAATAAATTTAATTTTTGCATAAAACTTTAATTTCATAAATTTTAATTTAAATTTAATAAAACAAACGGAAAAAAAAAATTTTAATTTCATTAATAAAAATTCAAATAACATCTATTCTATTTGCAAAACAAAGCAAAAAAAGAAAAGAAAAAAGAAAGAAACTGAGAAATAATTTCTTTTATTTTCTATTTTTTGCTAATAGAATGAAAGTAAAGCAAAATTTTGAATTTTACTAATTCAATAAGGAAATAATGCATACATTATTAAGCATATAATAATTAGCCAATAATTTAATAAATGAAGATTACAAAATAATTCATAAAACAAGTTTAACAAAAATACTGCATAGAAGATAACTAATATAATTTAAGTTGCAAATAGAATAAATGCTATTTAAATTTGTTATTTAAATTTTTAAACTATGATTATTGTAGGCCAAAGATTGTTAAAATTAAATTAAGGTAAGTAAAATTTGATTCATTCGTACTTCATATTGAAACATTTTATTAAGAATATAAATAAACGTTGCAATCGGATATTTCTTCTTCAGCTCTTCCCATCCACATATCATTGTGATACATTAAATTTCGGCGCAGTTGACTCAATTCATTGTGCTCTATGTAACAAATTTAAACAAAATTTTAACAAAAAAAAAAAAGAAAGAAGAGAAAAGGAAAGAAAAAAAACGGAAAATCATCAAAAATGGAAGGAAGTAATTTGATAAATTCATTGAAGTTTGCTGAAATTTTAAATCAGTGTAATTTCGAGAATTAGAAAAAGGCGAAGAAAAAATAATGGGAGCATTACATTTGTATATCAAAAAAGAAAAAAGAAAACTAAAAATGGATTTGGAAAAGATTTTAATTTAAGTATTTTTGAAAATTGACTGCATTTATAATTCATTTCTTTCTTCGTATTGGCAGCAATGATTTCATATTATTTACCAATGCTTTTTTAAAAGAAAAAAAAAAGTAAAAACCAAAAATTCATTAAAATTGACGAAAGATTTAATTAATATTTCTGCCATATCCAACCATTTTTATGATATTATGATGAAAAAATTCAGTTTAATAATACTTAATAATGAATAAAAATTATGTTAAGAAAGCAATTTAACACTGAATTGCTTCATTCTCACTTTATTTAATTATAAAAAAAAAGTGATTAGGAAGAAAAATTTACATCAAAATGTATTTTTTTTTTTTTTTTGTTTTTGTTTTTTCGTTTCTCCAACATTTCGTATAGAAAATGAAATTTTTTCATTTGCTAAAATTATTATATTATTTAATTACTTTCATTAATGCTACCACTTTTTAATTAATATTTCTGCCATTTTTACCCTGTTTATTTTGACAATTTATCATTTTTTAGCAAATTATTATTATTATTATTATTATTATTATTATTATTATTATTATTATTATTATTATATTATTATTATTATATTATTATTATTATTATTATTATTATTATTATTATTATTATTATTATTATTATTATTATTATTATTATTATTATTATTATTATTATTATTATTATTATTATTATTATTATTATTATTATTATTATTATTATTATTATTATTATTATTATTATTATTATATTACTACAAATATTCTCAAAGCAATGAACAGCACAGTTGCTATTATTTATTACTATTATTATAACTGATTACTATCATTATTTTGATAGTGAATTTTTTTAAAAAAAAAAAAAAAAGAAAGAAAAGTTATAGACTATACGTATTAAAAGTACCTTACCTTGCTTAATTTATCATTAATTTTAATAAAATTTTAAACTATTCATAATTTAATTAATTTACTTTTTCTCTTACCATTCATCGTTTCAGATTAGTAAACAAAGAAAAAAAATCTTTTTGGATAAATTTTGAAAAAATCAAAGTAAAATAATTTTAAAATGTTAGGAATAGGAATGCAATGCTAATAGTAGTTAATTCTTTGATCTTCCGATCCATCTTCTGTTCTTCAAATGATTAATTTTGTGGAATAGAATTGTGAGAAGTAATGATAGTGTAATGAGCTAACAGTACTCCAACATAGCGGCTAGAAAATTTAAAAAGATGTTAGAATGTTTTGCTAATTCTTGCAGAATGTACCTTTTCTCTATTCTCTTTCTACTTCAGGTTCCTTCTTGTTTTTTTTTTTTTTTTCTTTGTTTTCATTAATTATTTTGAAATCATTTTTTTTTCTTTGATACGATTTCACATTATTTAAAATGATTAGTGCAAAAATTTTCAATCGTTTAATTTATAACATTTTAAAGTTAAATTTGTAATTTCTTTTTTTCATTTTTAGTTTCAAATAGTTCCATTACTTAATGGTGCTCGAGTGAAACGAAGTAGTTGTGGAACATTACATGGCTGCTGGTATAATAATTATTATTTTTTTTTATCATTTAAAACTATTTCTTTTATTTTTCAAGATAATTAAGTACACTTTGTTTATTGTAATGAAGTGGTATATATTATTGTCATTCATTATATGTTCACACAATCGATAAATTATTATTATATGATTATTTAGCAAAAATTATCATCATATAAAATGGAATAGTTTAATGAAGCTTATTAAAAGTTTGTTAATTTTATTAAATATCAATGTAATATATGTATTAATTTCAGACAATAATTTAATAATCAATTAAATGCATTTACACTACAGATTTAATTATTTTGTGTTAATTTTTTTTCAAAGTAAAGGTCTGTACCTAATGGTTGTAATAGTAATAATGAATGCACTGCAAATTTACGTTGGTCCGTAAGTGGTCGTGGAACATTTCTTCGTTTACGTCTAGAAGCGCTCCTACGTGATTTGCCATCTTATGCAATGTACATAGCATTGGGATTTTCAAATGATGAACATATGGTAGATATTATTGATAACAATAAATTTTATCATTCATTTCAATTAGCTATTCGTAATTTATCATTGCTCATTTTGTTTATTAGCGCACATTTTACAATTTTATTTTTCAATCTGAAATAATTAATTTTATGATATACTAATTATGCAAAATAAATTATGTAATTATTTTTTTTTTTTTTATGAAATGGCATGAAATTTATGTAATTAATTACATAATTATTATTTAGGGTGATGACACAGTGTTAGAATGTATTTACAATGGCATTGATGAAGGAAGGGCGTATTTGTCCTACAATGATGGTACTTATAATACTCAATTATATGAGGTTATACTAATCTGTTTGACCATCCATTAATTAAATGCTTGAATTTCAAAAATTTTATGATTAAATTATCATAAAAATATGTACTGATATATTAATTTCAATTATTCATAGGCTTTACAATAATAATAATAGTACTTTAAATACTCCATTCAATTGAAAAATTATTATTTTAAATATGATTTTAATCATCTTTGATATAATTTTACGTTAAAACGCTTCTTTATTAGAACATTTATTTATGTCAATTATTTAATTATTCAAATAAATTTAATTAATTTATTTTATCAATATAAAATTTTTAGTTGTGCAGTTTACAATTAGGTTAATTTCAGGCTACAGCTATTCTTATTGTAAATTCCAGTTTCATTGTAAATGATAATACTTTCACTTGTTTGCTTGATGTTGATTTCAAACAACTTTATCGATTATCTAATAATGATAAATCAAAAGTTTGTTTTATTTTCTTATCACCTACAGTTTCTTTTTTTTTCACATTATTACTATTAACCTTTAACCCTTCATTCATGCTAATAATCTTTAATATTGTCTTTTTATTATATACAAATCATTAGTTTTTTATACAAAAAATAAATTAAAACATTTTTAGGTACACAATTTATTAGCAAAGCCATATTACTTGCAATTTGTTCGTGGATTAATTGAACAGCATAGTAAGCGCTTTTAAAAAATTTCTACAAATAATTTCCAATTTTTCATCAAAAATATTTCGCTCTTTCATTTTTTTTTTTTTTTTTTTTTTTTGAAATCTGAATTAATAAAAAGTTCAATGAAAAAAATTAATAAATATTAGCATATATAAAGAAGATGCATTCATTATCGGATGGTTCACTATATCCATGGATAACAACAACAATGATTAATATGTTACGAAATAAAAATGGAAAATATGAATACGTGAAAAATGCTCGGCAAGTCAAATGGTTTTCACGTAATACCACGTATGCGATGGTAACTTTACACGGTAAATTAATATTTTGCTATTACAATAACAATAATAATAATAGTAGTAACAATAACAACAAAAGAAGAAAGAAAAAAACGTTCAATTGTTTTCGTTCATTTTTTCTCTTTTTTTTTTTTTTTTGGAAATATTAAAAAAAAAAAAACGATAGAAATAAGTGTATGATGGTTATTGAGATGAGTAATTAATTTTATATTATTTATTTATAATTGCAATGATGTTAATAATTTATGATAATTATTAATTTCATTTAATTTAAATTTCTTGTTTTAAAATTACTTATCATTTTATTAAAATTAGAGTGCTAATTATCAATTATATTAATTGTTGCATTTATTATTTTAAAATATTCAAATCAAATAATGCATTTAATTTATTTTTTATTTTAAAATTTAATGATATTAATAGTTACTTTGCTTTTATTTACTTTTCTTGTTGGACAGAATATCATAAATTAGGTTATTAGTTGTTTTGTTTAACTTTTTAAGATACCACAAGCTAGGCCAATAGTTGTCTTGCTTGTTACCCTAGTATATCACAAGCTAGGCCAATAATTGTTTTGCTTGTTACCCTAGTATATCACAAGTTACGTCTAATAGTCATTCAATTTGACAATCTTCAATTATTGTAAATGCCTAGTAGTTTTGTTTTGTTTCATATTTAATGCCAGCTAGGTTAGTTTTAATAATTTCAATTATTTTTCTTTTATTTCTGATTTCTTATGGGATTTGTTTATTACTTTTTTTGGCACATAATTTTTCCTAAAATTATTTCTTAAAATGCAATTGTTGAATTTTCTCATCAATTTTAAATAATGGAATACAATAGGAAATTCAAAATTATTATTTTTTAAAAATTTATGTTGTAAATTGGAAAATTTAGATTTTTAAATATTTTTTTTTTTTTTTGCTCCATTTAAAACTTTTAATTATTTTTTTCTTTTTTCAAAAAACAAAGAAAGAAAAAAAAAAGAGAAAAGAAACAACTCAATTAATTTTGACAAATATAAAAGAAGAAAAAATAGAAAATTTTCAATTTCTATTTTTTTTATTTTTTGTAGTAATCTTAATGATTTGGAGTTGGTGGTTTCTCTTATCAAATGCAATATTATTATCACGACATTTTAAAACATTTTGGCCTAACATACAAATTGATCATATACCTATTTGGTTTCAAGTATGTTTTAACTGATTTATAAAATTTACTATTTTTTTTTTAAAAAAAGAAAGCAAAATATTCTTTTCTTTCTTTTAATTTCTTGTTAAAGCTTCATCGTGGTGGTGCACTAATATCAATTATGCTACAAACGGTAGCTATTTTACTCATTTTTATTCAATCAAGATTTCAATTTTATTTGTGGTGTACACGGCAATGCACCATAGAGGTTAGTTAGATTATTTCAAGAAAAAAAAAAAAAAGTTATCACAAAAATAGTTGCAAAAATTAACAAATAATTTTATTTTAAAATTAACCAAAAATATTTCACAAAAAAAGCGAAGCAAATTCTTTTCATCTCAAAAAAAAAAAGACTTTTACAGGTTCTATGCTACTTGGAATATTCCTTTTCTTTTTTTTTAGCAAATAAATTATATTGTCATGATAATAATAATATCTCAATGTTTTGTTTATTTTATTTTATTTTTTGAAAAAAATATTTTTTCTTCTTTTGGAAATTATAATTTTCAAATAATTTAGATTTTTTTTTCTTTTACCATTTCTAATTGATGCAAATGAAATTATAAAATTAATGTGTGTTAATTATATTTTAAAAATTTTTTGTAATTTATATTTGATATAATATATATTCAATTATATGTTAATTTAGAATAATTGTTATTCTACTTGGCTAATTATTATAGCATTTTATGAAGCCAATACATACTTGGTCAGGCTTAATTGCATATATACTTGCTGTAATACAAATTATAATAGCACTCTACCAATTCAAGCAAAAATTCATCAAACGATTTTATTTCAAATGGTTTCATCGTACTTTGGCACTTGTTGCATTCATCGCTGCATGTGTGTTTTGTTATTTTACACTCTCATTTTTCGTTAAATTATATATTTATTTATGTACGTTACATATAAATTAAACATAAAATATTTTCTGAAATCTAAATTTAATTAAACGCTAAATATTTTAAATTAAAATATTTTAAGTATAGTTTAGAAAATTTTTCCATGTAAGATTTTAAGTGAACGATAAGTAATTTTGAAAAGTATTATTTAATTTTAGTTTATTATACGATAATGAATTCATCATATTTATGCAAAAAAAATGTGTAAGGTAAAAAAAATGAACGAATTTAAAAAAAAAAAAAAGGAAAAATGAAATGAAAAAAAAAAAAAGAAAGGAAAATTAACAAAATTACTTGTAGCTTTAGGAATACTTTCTGCGACATCGCATAATAAAACGGGCCTTATCCGATATTATGGAAGATGGCCAGTTCTTCTTGCTGGCTTATATTTGTGTACATTTTCCGCGGCGTTATTTGCTTTTAGCTTTTTGGATGCTTATAGTGCTAAAAAATTAGCCCAAAAAAGTGAAAATATCGGTTTGTTTTATTTTATTAGAATTCTTAAGTTTAATTAAAAATAAATCTTTGATTAGTTGTTGATTATCACTTAATACAGTTATAATTATCACTTTGGGAAGAAATTTGATAAAACGTTCACGTAATAGCTTCACGTTTTATGAATTTTTGATGAATATTACTTGGTGATTGTTAAGATAGTTTTATTTTTTTTCTCCATTTTTATAAAAGGCGATAAAAAAAAATGCATTCATCAACATGATTCAGAAGTTAGACTGATTCATTAAAGTGATTCAGAAGTCAGACTAATTTATCAACATGATTCAGAAGTTAGACTGATTCATTAAAGTGATTCAGAAGTCAGACTAATTTATCAACATGATTCAGAAGTTAGACTGATTCATTAAAGTGATTCAGGAGTCAGACTAATTTATCAACATGATTCAGAAGTTAGATTGATTCATTAAAGTGATTCAGGAGTCAGACTAATTTATCAACATGATTCAGAAGTTAGACTGATTCTACTAATTGATCAACTTCATTAATAAACTTGATTTAGAGAATGACCAAGCAAAAAATGCACGAATATCAACAAAAGTTGAAACTATTGAAATAGCAGATGAAGAAATCGAACATAAATTTTGTTGGGTAATTTCTTACAGACTATATTTTAATTTTGTAAACTATTTTGCTAATGAATAGCTAATCGATCAATAATTACTATTTTATCGATTAAGTAAACTTAACTACAATGCGGAATGCAAAAAAACTAAAATGAAAAATTAAAATCTAAAAATGTCAACAATGATTCTATAATTTAAATGATGAGTGTATGTGGCTTTCATTATGAGAATATGAGTTAGGGCAAGCCTTAAACGTTTAACTAGGCTTTTTTAATTTGAAAGCTGATTTGAACAAATAAATATGAAAAATTTATAATCTTAGTGGGAAATGACTAATTCTGCACAAATTAAATTATTCAGCAATTTTAAATTTAATTCTAGTTTGATAATTTATTGTTTAATAAATTTCAGATCAAGATAATTCGTCTATCAGTGCTTATTCTGCATGTAATCATATCATTCGCTGTTTGCTTTATCATTACAGCTATGGTTCTTATCAATTATGCCAGGAAACATTGATTATTTCACGTATATTTATAACTATCATACTATCATATCAGTGGTTATCAAATGGACGGATAACTTTAAAACTTTTGATCTAATATAAATTCTTTTTGTTCTAATAACATACATAATTAGAAAATAAATAAATGTATACTTTTCTAACAAATAATTTTGTTTCCCATTCTTATACTATGCGATAAATATAACTTACTCCTTACTCCTAGTGTTTACAATAATTATTATCCAAAAAAGTGATAATTTTATGATTGGTAAATTTTACTTTTTACAATTTTGTTTTGATTTAGATTTGTTCTATGCTTTTATTTTTGTTACATTTTAAATTTGTCTATATTCCATCATACCATTTTCTCTTCTTTTCTTTCTTTTTTTACTTGCACTTTTTTTGGATTAAAATATGTAACAAGCAAGTAAATGCAACGAATTAGTTTGCTAATTAGGACAAAAACTTTTTTTCTTAAAGTTTTTTTCTAGTAGAAATTAGTGTGATAAAAATTTGTAAGTATGTTAAAAAAAAGTTTTACGATAAATCAGACGGAAAAAAAATTTTTTGAGAGATATTTTAGATAATGTTAATAATGATAAGATGTAGTGATGAATTTGTCACAAATTTTTGTGCTATCATATCATATTGATTACATCATACTGTGTATTAGATGATACTAGATAAAGCCATGTGACAATACCTTTTATTGTACTAAAATTATGTTGCTTAGATAGACTAAAAATCTTCTTATCATTTATCAGCTACCAGTTATTAAAAAATATTTCCAGTATGTCATATTTGAGCCGAAGTTTTTCATATCGCTTCCATCATAGTTGCATTGTGTAAGCAATATGAAAAATGTTAGTAAAAAACGTTCCGTGCTGCTTCGTGGTTTGCTGCAGTGTTTGAAATCTTAAAATTGATCACGTGGTTTTCCAACGTGTTTCACGTGTAGTGCGTTTTGTTTAAATATTTGTGGAATGTTAGAGTACTTTTAGCAAATGTTTACTAATTATTTACTTTATTATTCACTCTTTTTTTTATCATATCCATTGTTTAATTTTCCTCTTTATGTTAAAAACTGTGATTGATTCTATGCAACAAAACAAATGAATGAAATGATATTTAATAGTTTAAAACATTTATCATTCCTTTTTTATTTGATTTCATTCGTAAAAGCTCCATTTTTTTTTAATTGTAATACAAGATTTTTGATACGATAAAAACAGTATAGGTTATGCTTTTTTAAATGCTTTTCGTTCTTTAAATTAAAGTAATCGTAAGCGTGTTCACTTGACTTTAATAATAGGTTAGAGTCGTAAAAAATTAACATTAGTCGTCATGTAAATGATAATGATAAATAATTATTACTTGACAATTCTGGTAATATCTCCACACTCTGTTTCTCATAATTTCTGTTAGAGATGTCAGTTATGTTGGATCATTATTTGGACAATTTATCGACACTTCCTCGTGATTTGGCAAAGAATTTACAAGGGATTCGGAAGTATGATATGGAATGCCATAAGAGATCAGCCGAAATTGATCGAAAATTAAGAGTATTTGTAAAGTCGTGTCAAAGAATGCCGAAGAATGCATCAGTCTCGTTTAATAAAGAAATTATGGTAATTTTTCTTTTTTTTTTTCTTTTGGTGAATCATTTTGTGGAAATCGTTCACTTCAAAAAATTGGATGGAAATGAATTTGAATCACGAAATATGAGGTGAATACGACCATGGTTGGAAGTATGAATATAATTAATGATGAAATGCTATTAAGGGAAGTATGCTTAACTGAGTAAACTTATTATAAACCATCTTGCTTAATTATTAGTACAATCTCTGTTTTCCTTGTACTAATCAACTTTTGGTCAAGTAGTTCCTTTCCAGAGATCTTTACATGTAAATCAGCGGAGCGATACTGTTATCTTTTTTCGTGCCAGCAACGTCATTTACTTAGGATGGTGATTGTTATTTTATTTCTCACATTCATTATATATTTAGCTGATCTGAATATAGAATTACTCAAAATTTACTTTCGGTCTCAGTCATAATATAGATGTATAGATTCATTTCTATTTCAAAAGTAGCTTGTCTCTAAATACAACTCATCGGACATCAATTTTTGCAGACTTTGTTTGCGGAAATCGAACGTTTATCAAATGAAAAGATTCGTTTGGCATCAGACACTTACGAACTTGTTGATAAACATATCAGACGTTTGGATAACGACTCAGTGAAACTTCAAGCTACAATACGACAAAAATATTTGGATGCTGCAGCGGCAGCTGAGGCAAAGGCTAATAAAAGCGGCGGTAAATGTTAGAATGTCTGTTGTATGTATATATATTAAACTCTTGTAAACTAAACTCTATATACATATATTATATATAAGCCGTTTGTATAGGTAAGATTTCTGTGCTCAAATTTTTGCGTTTACGGTTATCTAACATAGTTGAAATTGTTGTTTTTTCAAAGGGCATTTTGTATTAAGTACTTTCATTTTTTATATCAACGTTGCCTTTTTCTTTATTTTCCTTTGCCAACCACTGTTTTTACCATATCATTGTAAAGTAGCGGAATAAAGTAGTATTCGCTTTCATGAGTAGTATTGGAGGTTTGACGGTAAAATAATTTCTTGCCGAAAAGGGTAATTCGAAAGGGCTAAAGGCTTCTGATTTAAAATTCAACATTAAATTCAGATGAAATGCTTGACCGGAAAAGAAAAACTATTGCGGGTCGTAAGGATAAGAAGAAATTAAAAGAGGATAGCTGGTCTCAAAAAAGTACAGGTATGTTGCAAAGTATGCTACTAGTATTATATCCAACACATCCATAAATATTTTTTATCTCGAAGTTTTACTGAATTTGTTGACAAATGTTGTATTGCTCATGCATTTCCCATTTCATAGTAGAAGTTTCACGCAAAAATTGTAATCGGAATCACAACTTCGTTCTCATTTTGTTTCTGAAGAATAAGATAACCAAAATAGAGTTTATGTCTTTATTTCATGATCTAGCACTCGATGTTTTTTGTAAATAAATAATCTTTCTACTTTATGTCAATTTCAAATATTCCACAAAATTTAAATTAGTTGGATGAGTTTTTGTTATATTTATCCTTGATATTCTTTTCCAGCTTCTGTCTCTGCGCCATTCCAGCCGTTTTTGGATGCACCGTCGGTTATGGAAATGCCCGTTGACCCGAATGAACCCACCTATTGCATCTGTCATCAGGTGATGATCTTCCAATTGAAAAAAGAAACCACTAAAAATTTAAGTCGATATTCTAATGTCATACTTTAAGATTTCTCACGGTTTTTGTTGCAAAAAAAAAAACTATTGGTTTGCAGGTTTCGCACGGTCAAATGATAATGTGTGACAACAAACAGTGTCCTATAGAATGGTTTCATTTCCAGTGTGTTGGCCTTACAGAGGCACCAAAGGGAAAATGGTATTGTGAACGTTGCAGCGAGCAACGAAAAAAAAGGAATTCCTCTGGAAGTAATAAGTAATTGTCACTCAGTTGCATTTGTTAATTCATCGCCCTCTTGGTGCATTTTAAACGAAAGGTCTCTTTGTTTAATCATGGCCTCCTGAAATTTTTTTGGGAGAAAAATATTTCCGAAATGTTAAAACATAAAATCACTGAGAATTTCCATGTTGCTAAAATACTACGGTAACTACTATGAGTTACTTGCAGTGTCTTTCATAGCGAACTTCTTAGCTAGCTATATTTTAAGTGATAGAAGTTTGTAATATTGTGCAGTCATTTCAGTAATTTGTTTGTACATTTTACTTTTCGACAAGGGACGGCTTATATTTCAATCACCGTTTTGTATTTTTGTATGCACATTCTTTACATTTTTGCCTTTTTATTTATTAGCTTGTAAATGACACTTCGATCTCAGAATAAAAACTGTACCTCAGAAACTTTTAAAAAACGTTAGAAATATATGCCAGCAAATCAAATCGCGGATGTTGAAATCAAACGAAGTCCATAATCGAAACATTAGTAGCTATTATTGACTCCAAAAAAAGTACACTAATTTCTATAATAAACGAGATTTTTACATCACGAAGGAAAAGGAATAAAGTGATTTTACAATGTTAACTTCACCGAATAATAAAGCACTAAACAATGACAAAAAAGACGAAGGTAATATTTATAAGGTTGTGTTACAAAAGTATGTTCTTTATGATTATACATATTCACAAAGTTATAAAATGATGGTCAGATTCTCAGTCTGGTTATGCGTTATTTCACTGTTTATAAGAAATATTTGACAATGCTCTCTGCTCACTGTGCTCATTGCTCGAAATTCATTCGCTCATTCGGATTAATGAAAAGGGCACCTGCTGCATATGAAACGGATGAATCGTTCAAGTTACGGCTCTGAAATTGTGTAATAAAAAATGAAAATTGCATAATCTCCAATACCAAATTTACTTCATGAATATTAGTATACCGAAGTTTTAAAAAGTGAAATATGCCTGTACGACACCAGCACACATTTCCACAACTAACAATCTAATTCTTAACGAATAACAATTCGATTTGGATCAATTCCCACTTTTCCTAAGACGACAACTTTGCTTACACTATGGATAACCACTTTTCTGACACATAGATCTTTGGTGGCTCTATTCGCAAGTTTCACGACATTGCATGCAGAATATATACGGCACACTAAAATGTGAAACGAATATAAGCATCTCTATACCGATTCCTTCAATGATAGTCTAAACTATAAATGATGAAGAAACAGTTCACTTTTCAAGCAGTTCTTTAAATAGACAGAAGACATCTGGACAAATAATTCTTAAATTCTATGCAATGAAGTAGTCAGTACATGCATGCCTTATATATGGCCTTAAATTGGTTTCAGGTGAGATTTTATGTTTCCTAATAAACAAATACCTGATTAGACTGTGCATATTTAAGAAATATGAATTCCGCGAAATGATTGTTCATTTGACGGAAATATTCCGCTGCCTGAAAATACAATAGGAATCGCTCAATGTGTTCAGATTAAGTACAATATAACGATAGCAACAATATAATATAGAAATGAATATTTTGAGATGCTTGAAAAAATCAAAGATGATTTGTTACCTTTTATTGTGAAAGACTACTATTCTTGATTAGATTATATTTTAATTTACTGATAACGATTGCATTGAAATAATATGCTTACATGAAGTATAACGCTGATTGGATTTCTGCCACAGATTGTATTTTGTGTCCTTTTCAAATACTCGCCAAACACGGCTGGATTAAGACTAGAAATTGCGTCCATTCCCTGAAAACAGCCCAATGCATAACTTTTAAGACGTGCAAGCATATATCGACATTAAAATTACTAATTATTTATATTTATAAGTGTACAGCATCAAAAATTCCAAGAATAACTTAACATTTCCGCAAATGCTACAAATATTCATTTCATGATAAGCACTCAAAAATACTTATAAGCACAGATTACTATAATGAAATAACTAAAAATAAAGCAGAAATCACACCCTCTTCATATGCAAACACTATTCTTCCTGGGATCACACATAATTTATTAATCACCACTTTTTTTTAATATTAAATATAAAAGTTAACATCAAAAAAGAGAATAGACAGCACCTGTTTGTCCATAGCAGCAATTTGTTCATATATTGGTACACCGGTGCTATTGTCGTATGGCATGAAATGGAATCGATTTCCTTTAAGCAAACATCAATCATCAATCAATAAATAAGTAGAAGGAGATGGAGCCATTTTATCTTACTTAGACTTCCAAATGTGTAATTTCTCAATCTGATTTTTTTATATAATGGAAATTTTAACTTATTTAGAATTCAGAAAAAAGAATCATTTTTAAACTATCATACCCCAATGACAGAAGTCGGAACTGACGACAAAAACTATCTTCGGATCTGACAGATACTTGCTAAATATTTTACCATAACTGGCTTGCTTTGAAGGTGAAAGTGATCCTACCAATACTGGTACAATGCTATAACTATTCATCGACTTCCTACAACAAAAAAGCTAATGCAGAAAGTCTCCGCATCCTTCCATAATTTGATTCATTAAAAGGAACGAAACAACACTGTTTGCAAGTTTTCATTCAACAGCTTATTTATTCAGCCTTAGAATGAAACTGTTGTTTTGATCTAAAAAAAATATACTTTTCCATAATTTTTGCTATGTAAGGCAATTGCATTTCAATGCTATGTTCCGCTTCTTCACTACGCAAATCCATTAATGAAAAAGCTCCGGTTTCTTTCAGCTCCATATTTGCTGCAAAAGTTATAACGCCGCCAATATTAATATAAATATAGTATTATAGAGTCCCCTACAGTTTTAAGCTATACTAAGATTGTTATGAATTTTACTAAATGATTACAATGATACTAAGATCCAATTCAACCACAATATAGTCATGAACGACATGATCGATTTTCTTCAACTATTTCAGCACTCTCTTTCTATCATCAACACCACCACCATGCATACAATCCCCAAAAAACTGAATCAATTTCCATAAAGCTTAATAATTTGCAAAAAGTTTAACCACTTCAATCATGTATGTTACCAATCAATAATCAGTCGATAACTGACCACATAAACAAATGTATCAATCTAACAGGGTTTATTTTCCCTCATGATCGATATATTAATGATAATATGTGAAAGAATTGGGAAAAAGAATACTTCGTTGATCGATCTGAAGGTCACCTATAGGTGTACGATAACGCGAACAGGTTGATAATGCACAAGTATCCAACGACATTACGTGTGATGGTCCCAATACGAATATAATACTACTGTAACAGTTATACGAAATAATGCATAGATTCCAGAAAAAAATAAGTTTTTAAAACAATTACTTAGCAGAAAGATTACAGTCAGTGCATAAGAAATGCAAAATTCTGTGACTGATTTGTTCCTCTTATTGAATTCCATGATTATAGAATCTATTTAGCTACCTATTACCGATATGATGCTTAAGAAAATAACATGACAGCATACAGAAAGTAAGAAAGATTGATTCAGATACGGTTCACTTCTTGCATGTTGCCCTATTGTAAAGTTACACTTCAAGTCCTTAAAATAAGTAATAAATGATGAACTGACCAATCGCATGATTTCACCAGTTGTAAACAAGTGACACTTTATAAAAGGCAAGTTAGTAAACAAACTGATTAAACAATTTAGAAATCGGTTACATGTAATTTTCAACCTGATCAATTATAAAGTTAAAGCAATCTAGTAGGTAAAGTAGAATTTTCACTCACACAGTTTCGGGAATAATTTGCTTGAAGGCAAAAGCTGCAACCCTGCCGCTATATGAATAACCAGCATGCCTGAAAAAGAGCACTAATTGTCAGAAATACATTGGGAATATAGAAAGCTTCGAACCTGCCCATTTGTTTTATTCCAATCTCGAAAATTTCCTTCTTCATATTTTCCCTTTCATTTCACTTGCTCTTACCAACCTTTCACTTATTCAGCAATACTAGAAGGAATGAATTAGATATGATGGAAAGGAGATGTTGAAATTAAAAACTTAATCATACTTGAAGCCGTGATCGAAAAATGACTTCGCTGCTATTAATCCATACTGGTGCTATCCTTTAGCGTATTACTAACGTTATCATCCTGTATGAATAATTGATACCAAAATTAGTGATATCCATAAATAACCTGGCTAGCAAAACTTAACCTAATTAATCTAGTGGAAGCAAAAATTGTTAATTTAAAATGTGCAATGTTTAACTTTTCACCGTCGTGAAACGACAGCACATACTTACGGTGAAATAATAGCACGAGCTGACTGAGGATGACGTGAACCGGCAGCACTGAGCCATTCTGTTAGTTCACGATGGAGTTTTCTTGGATCATCTGTATACCTAATAAAGAATAAAGTAGTACTATATAAAAAAAATACAATAATTTCAACTCTTAAAAGATATAAGTGAAGTATGAAACAACAAGGGTTCACGTTATTTTGCTACATCACATTATGCTTATTAGATATAAAAAATGAAAACAAAACAAACCAGGATCCAGCATGGGATGCATTTCTTACAGCACAACCAACGGAAGTCATTCTTTCAAATGAAACAGTTTTGACGTATTCTAATGCTGTAAATAAATAATAATTAGATGTGTTTATGTGACAAAACATTACCTAAAACACAATGAAATCATAAATTTGCATTTGAAAAATATCACATTAAATTTGCTTGATGGAAATTTTCTTACTGATTAATATGCAACAAATATTACTTAGTCTCTAATAAAATCAATAAAACATGAAAAGTGAGGACAAATAAATGAATGAAAACATAAAGTAAATTGCAAAAATCTAAAAAAAAAATATTCCTATATATTCCCTGTTGCTCATCTTTTATTTAATCTAACCTTTGAACTCATCGAATAACTTTTACTTTGTTTATTTGCTTAAATGAGTAACAATATTTCACGCTATGCAGAATATAATGAACCGACCAAATTGGCCACGCAATGAAAAGTTTTAGCATAGAAATGACATTAGTGAGATGAGTGTCAGAGAGAAATAGTGTTGTAGAGGATGATAGAAATATTTGTTATTGTCAGAGAGCAATAGAGGGAACAGAAGTGTTGCATTCCATATTCTTCCCGCGGTGGTGATTTTTCCTTACGGTTGTTCTTCTGGTGTTTTTCTGTAGTGTTCTTTGTTTTTATTCTTTGGGTAATTGATTTCGAGTTTTGCTTACTTTCACTTACAAAGTTTTACTAGAAATTAGATTAAAAGCAGAATTATGACACGAAAAAGAAGGATTGTTGTATCAGATGATCAAACTATGCTGCCAAGAAGTGATAATATGATAGTAAAAAGTGTCGATCATATGATCTTAAAAGGAGGGAATGGTGTGATAAAAGATAAAGATGAGGAAATGGAACAATTGGATGAAGCTATGATAGTAGCAGATAACGAGTTGGCATCAATTAATGATGGTAATGATATGTTATCATCAGTAGATGGAAATATGACAGATACAAATGATATGTTATTAGCTAGACGAGCAAAAAAACCAATAGAAGAAATTGTAGCATTAAGTGATTGTGAAATGGAAGAGAATAATGAACCAATGATAATATTATCGAAAAATAGTAGTGATATGATACCAATGGATATAGCCATATTATCAGTAGACGAAGATGGAATATCAGTAAATGAAGTTGTTGGATTATTGGAAAGAAATGATAAGCAAAATGAATGTCCAAGCAAAGATGGACTAATGATAGTAATGAATTAGTGATAAGATAGGAATGGATGAAGTAGCATCTATAGATGAAGCAATGTTAGTGGATGGACCATTGCAATCAATGGATAAAATTATGATATCAGAAAGTACAATTATGGAATTGGATGATCAGATTGTGATATCGAAAGGTGATGATGCATTAATGGAAATGGATAAAATTATATCACCAAACGAGAAAGTAATAAAAGTGGAAAATCAAATTATTATCTCAAGTGATGATGTGATGGAAGTAAAAGTTGATTCGATAGGATCAATCAGTGCAAAACTATCAGCAATAGATGAACCGATGACGTCAGTTGATGAAAATGAACAAAATGTTTGTTCTATTAGCATCAAACAATAACTTTGTAGTATCAACAATGGAAAACAAACAGTAGTTCAGGAAGTTTTCATAATATTAAATTTTTGTTCTATAATTCAGGGAGTTTTCATAATTTAAATTTTTATTTCAACTAAATTATTTCGCATTTTTTAAGGCTAAAGTTTATTGATTGAATTATTGCCAAATTCAAAGTTGCAAATTTAGCATTAATTATTATAATCTTTGTCGTTTTTTTTTTTCCGAAATTGAAAATAGTTTGTATTAATTTACTAAAGAATGTTGATCATGTTAGTAGATTCTAGAAAATTAAAAAAAAAAATTAACAAAATAATTTTTTAGAGTAATAGCAAACAATAAATTACTTACTGCTTTTAATGATCTCTTCAGAAAAAAAGAGGGAAAAAAACCTAAATTAACTGCGATCACATATGATCAAACACTAAACTTTATTCTTTAAAAAAATTTATGCGTCCTTTTTTCCATAATTTAATTTTCTGTACTTTTAAAAATATTATATATTTCTTCTAAACTTTTATCATTTTTTTCATCTTTCTCCTTCTTCTCTTTTTCTCCTTTTCTAAACAGGCTCTTCTTTTCTTACAAAAGTAACACAACCAGTTCTAACAATGATTACAACAATTACTACTACTTCTACTTTTACTTCAATTACTACTTTTACTGGTAAATATTGTGTACATAAAAAGGAGAGAACAACAAATATAATATATTGTATTAATATTGTAAAAACTGGAAATTTTTGGAAATGGATGTTTTCAAATTCTCCACTAATTAAGACGAAATGTAAAGAAAGAAAGAGAAGGAGAAGAAGTTGTAGAAATTGATGGATTTATTGATTGATTGATTGAAAACAATCAGCAAAATACTGGTTTTATCAAATAAATATCCTTTTCAACAAATATCCATATGCTTAACATTTCTTTCTTCTCTAAAATTCTTCATCATTTATTATTTAGATATTTTCTAGAGGAAAAAAAAAACTTTTTCTTTTTTTAAACAATAAAAATAAAAAAAATTTCCTTGCATATATATATATGTCATCTATTTCTATCAACTTTTCACAATGATATTATTTTAATATTATTTTAATGTTGTTTTCGTTCTTTTAAGTATTATCATAAATTTAATCTGTTATCTGTTCGCTATTATTATTTCAAACAAATTTTTGAAAATGAAAAAAATTATATTTTAACTACCATTCATTTATGTTGCTTTTTTTTTCCTTTTTCTTTCGATATTATTAAATAATTTAACAAACAGTAGGTGAACAAATCTATTTTCATCTTTTTACTACTAAATATTATTTCATTGATGGATGATATTCCCTCTCTCTCTTTGTTTCTTTCTTTTCTCTCCTTTTTCTTTCTTCTTTTTGCAGGAAAAAATGGTTACTTTCTTATTTGGCTATATTATTATTTCTCTGACAATTATTATACTTTATAACTAATCAAAATGGTGATTTGATAATGGATAACATAAACGAGCAATGACTGTAGCAACAGCAATTTTTTCATCAAAGGTAATTCTTATTTTGATACTTCATCATAATACTTTGTATATTTTCGAAATAATTAGTTAGGAATACATTAACTGATTGAGAATATATTTTGAAGGCAATTAATCATAGATATATTTTAAAAATAATTAATTGGAGAAATATTTTGGAAATAATTGATTAGAAATATTATTAAGTAAATAATCTTAAATTTGATACTTAGGAAAATCATTGATTTTTTAATGTAAGGGAAATTATAGTATTTATAAGCGATAGGTGTTTTTTATGCAGTAATTATGAATAGATTACAATTCCTAATTAACAATGCTACAACAATTAATATTTGCAGTTGTTATTTTGGTCTGTAATAATTTTATTAGATTCTAATTGGAATGCTATCAATTCATCTTCTTCGTCATCCTCATGGTTACATCACAATGATAGCAATTTGCATTTTTATAGCCAACCAACAAATTCAAGTAAGTGAAACTTGAATATGTGAATCAAGTAGAATTTATTTTTAAAATTTTGAAATGAAAATTGAAAGAATTACATCAGTTAGATTAATTCGGCACTAATTCGTTAACTGTTTGTGATATTTGTAGCTACGTTGATTTCAAACACTAATTATATGTTTCCTAAATTCTTTTTGGAAAAAAAAAGTACTTAAGGAGTTTCTGAAATTTTTTAAATGATATTTAAATGTTAAATTTCATTTTCAAAATTTATTCGTACATATTTCGTATTACTTCAAATTTTTATTTCTTTATTAAAAATTATAAAGCACTTCGGTACAAAATGTAACTCTATTTAAATGACTTTATATTTATTTTGAAATAATCATCGACAGATTTTTCACATGATGGATTTCGAGGGGACGTTACAAGTAGTGAAGAAATTACTTCCAAAAATGCTGAAAAGGTATTATGCTTTTTGCTAATATACAGATATTGATCGATTGATTTTAAGATACTTACCTTTTATTGAATTTATTTTGAGCTACAAATACTTTATAAAATAATTATTCTGAAATTTTCAACTTACATAAGGATCATATGTCTCTTTTACACTGATGATGAATTAATAACAAATGTTTTCGATAACAATACGGATGAAATTGGTCTAAAAGTTAATAAATCATTCTTCGTAATATAAATCATAGCTTTGTACTGTTTATATGAGAATTTTTTTTTCTTTTTTGAATTTAGAAACAGTTGAAATTATTTTTTTTTTTTTTTTTTTTTTAATTTAAAATTCCATCAATTTAACCAATAATTGATTTCAAGGAGATTAGTGACGACGATCAACGCTATGATGAAGTTGAACAACTGATTATTCCATCAGTTGAAAATTCCACAAAATCAAAAAGGTCACGAATAATTTATCATTTCTACAAGTTTAATTATTTATGTAAAATGTTAAATTTTTAAATTTGCTTTGTCAAAATCACAATTATGTAAACAATTGAAGTAAACAAAAACAAAAAAAAGAAATGAATAGTTTTGAACATAAAATACAAATTTTAAATCAAATTCAATGTATAATCAAGAAAATGAGTTAATCAGGAATTATATATACTGAAATGGAAAAAGCATAAACCATAAAATTTCAAAGGTAAATTAATCATTTCGATAGCTAATCTTAAAATTTTTATATTTAACTTCTGTTACTACTTTTGTTCTAGACGGATATTGAAGAATGCGAAACGATGCATTCGATATAATGAAAAATATCTTTATCAATTGTTGGAGCGATCAGGAATGTTTAACCAATGGTTTATGGCAAATAATCCGGAGGAAGCGGGGCATAATTTTGCTCGTTTTCATAAAAGTTTTTTCAAAACCAATTTTGATTATTTTGATCAACCTCAGGATGATAGTTTGCCTTCTGATATTGAGGTTAGTGTATTAATTAATATAATTAATTATATTTATATAGCTTATATCAATATATTAATTGAAAAATTGGTCCTATTAGTTTCGTTCCTATTTTTTCGATCTCATTCAACTTCCTCCTTTCTCTTCATTTTTCCTTCTGTTTTCTTTTCCTTTCCTTCTCTTTTCTCTTTGTTTCAAAGATACGATATTAAAAGAAATTTTTTTCTTATGAGTAAAATATTGGAAATATTTTTTTTTAATTTAATCTATAAACAATGATTAATGAATGTTTAAGTACTCTTTTCTTCTATCTAGTTTTAAATGGATCACTCTGATCATATCATTTAATTATTAAAGTTGTAACTGTGAAATATCGTATTCAATTAAATAATTTCAGGATATCAATATATCATTTAATTGTGATGATTTGTGTCAGAGTATAATTTGGAAATTAGATGAAGCACTTGAAAAGGAGAAAAATGATACACTTTTATTAAATGTATCATTTTTGGATGATGCTCAACCACGTGTAATCAATGATGGTTCAACGAAATCAGCATTAACTAATTGTCAGTTAGGTAAGCGTTTAATTAAGTAAAAGCATTTGAATTTTTCAATCCGATATAAAATGGATGAAGGAAAACTCCTTTCTTATGAAATATTAATCAAATGATATTGATAAACTTATCAGTTATATATTTATCTTTTAATTAATTGTTACTACTTACCTCTGTAAACGGAAAGACAAAAATAATCTTACGGAAATGAAGATTAAAAAAAGTAAAAAGGAAAAAAATTGGAAATTCTAGATTTGACGCATATACTTTGAAAGATTTTTTGTTTTTCTAAATGTAATTAATTTTTTACTGACAATTTCGAACACAGACATTTTTAAAATTAAAATTTATTACCAGCCTAATCTGTCACATTTTTATATCATTTTGAAATCTTTAAAATTTATTTTCAAGAATCACTCTGAGTAATAGCTGATGTGTTTAATATGCCAGATATTAAGCTAAACAATTAGCAATTAATTTTTCATCATCTCTTTCCCGTTAAACATAATATGAAGAACAGGTAAATCATAATTGTTTAGGAATGTTCATACCGGTTGGGAAATGTATCCAGCAAGGTGCAGAAGAATTCGAAGATCATAGCAAATTATGTGCATCTTGCCAAGGTGTATATATGCTTGGCAAAATGTGTTTCCCGCGATTCATCAATGCGATAAAATGTGAGAAACAAATTCAAACATCTGGATGTATTTTCGACAAAGTCTCAACTAAATGTAAGATTTAAACGCCACACAAAGTAAGCCTATAATTATAGATTTAAAATTCTTTCCTCAAGTCCCTCAAATTGATAGATTTATACTTCAAATATTTTTGTAAAAATAAAAAGGAAAAAAAAAAGCTGTTTGTTAAACAGAAACTAAAAGACAAACATTATGAACTAATAAAAATACGACCATTCTTTATATTTGGTAATTGCTTATTAAGAGGTTAAATTTTGTTGCTAATATTAAGAATTAACTGATTTTCGTCTATAAATATATTTTAATTCTGGATAATCCTTCTTTTTTCGATTGAAATATATATTCTCCATTTAACTAAGTTATATAAATTTTAATAAAAACTAATTTTAGCTCATGGTTCATGTTACATGCGTACGCTTACATTTAAAGTATTACGTAATGATGGAAACGAAAAATGTCAAGAATGGCACCATGAATACATCCAAGTTCCAACATCATGCGAATGTCAGCTTAATATGGATTCATTATTGCTAAGTGCTGTGAAACCGTGACAAACGGACGAAACAAAGATTGAATGATCAAATTCTAAGAATGACAAAAAGTGAAATGATTTAAAACAGAACGAGCAAAGGGAAAGCAAAGAATGATTTTACTGGTGAACAAGAAACTGATCATTTAAAAAAGAAAAATGATGCCGTGATGACAATATTGTTTTGTAATTTGTTTTTTCTTTTGTTGTTTCTATTGCAATATTATTCAAATTATTAAAATTTCGAAGCAAAATTGAAATGAACTAAGTTACACCAAATTAATACAATATAGCGATTATATCAATTCTCATCACATCCAGATGATGAGAGATTAGGTTTATTCGGATGACATTTAAGTAATCAGGTAGTTATTCCTTTATTACGATTAGATAGTTAGTTAGTTTAGAAAGTAAAAGTTAGCAATTAGTTCTATACATATGTGAAATGATGACCTAACATAAATACATCTATCACATGCAAGAGTGCAACAATATGTAAATTACGTAAACTCTAAAACACAAACGACAATAAATTGATTTCAGAAAAATAAAAGTACACTGGAGGTGAAGTCTATACTGATGCAAATTTACTATCTAATTACTTATTACCAATTACCTCGACTAAAAGTATAAGAAATGGAAGATATGTAACATAAAATCGCATGATTTTTCGAAATAAAAAAATATGAAATCCCGATATAAGGAACTTTTCCAAACTTATAAACTGGTTCGTACTTCAAGAGGTTAAAATTGCAAATATGTTACAAAGTAAAGAAATTTAACTGATGTAGCGAACTAATAATAAACTGATACAAACAAATGAATAGACATAAAGCAAAGATATCCAGTGATCATATTCTATGTTTAAATTTCACAAGAACTAAAACTGAACAAATTTATAAACACACCTGTTCAACATGGAAATAAAAGTGACTGAATCCAAAAGCTATTATCATTGTCGAATTTGGATCGGGTAACCACCTCTCCAGTGGAATCTTTCATAAATACAGCAAAGAAACATTACTCTACACATTTGTTCACTAAAAATGAAAATATTATAAATAACAGATCCATAAAGCTATTTTTTATTATCTTCATCGCTTACTTGAGACTTATGGATAACACTTGGTTCCTTTTTATCAACAAATGGATCAGGTAACCACTTGCTACCATCTAGTGGAACTTTTTCCAACCAATCATCGCAAATGGTTTGGTTATCCTATAAGCAAAACCACTAAATAATAATAAAATGATATAGAATGCGACTAATAATGTGTTTTGACTAAACACGAAGGTATTTAAGTTTGCAATGAATAAATAAATGCAACTTTACAGCATCTGTAGCACGCACTAAACTTTTTAAATAAACATACTTTATCAAGTACAATTCCTGAGCAAGCTATAAGAGCCATATCTCCATCAACAACAAAGGCGTTCCCTAAATATGCATCAATCTTTGTAGCTACGCGAACAAACTCTCCATCTTGAGTAAACTGCTGTATCCGACCTGTTTTATCCAGAACAAGAATATCACTTCCATATCTGGAAAGATGCTATTATACAGTAGTATTAAGCCATATAATAAGCAATAAACCAGTAAAACTAGCTAACACGCAAATTTATGTCCCTGTTCTTTTTTTTTTTTGGCAGTTTGTAAAGTAAAATTAAGAGTGACAAAGAGTTCAAGTGAATTACAAATCTTAAAGTAAACTTAAAGACGTGAAGAATTCATTTCCAAAAACAACTACAGTGACTATTCTCCGATGTTAATGATGTGGCGTAGTCTAATGCGCTATATTAGCCTTTTAATCCACTGATTAATACCTGTTATGAAGATGAAGATAAGTCATCACTATGAAAGGAAGTCAATGAAAGAAACATATTCAAAAAAAAAAAAAAAAAAAACCAAACTAACTTCTGTATTGAAAGAGGAAAAAAAATTTGTCCATCTTCTTTTCCTTCCTTACTAAAACTTTTGATCACTTTACCTTCTGTTATATTGATTAGTCGGAGGAATTGTCTGCAAAATAATAGCATACTGAATTACGTAATTATTACAGGTGGTTAAACCCACCACAAAATGTATGTAGATAAATGCTACCTATCATCACGTCCAAGAATCTTTAAATAATTTAAGTAATTTTTTAAAACATCTCAAAACAGAAAAAAGAAAATGAAATGAAATGATTATCGCTGATATAAAGTACATTTGATTTAACATCGAAGTCAGTACAAACTTCCCAAGTTTTTGCATGTGACAAAAAATATGGTAAACAACAATATAAAACGATTCATTTAAATAATAAAACAAATAACCTAGAATACATATTGAGAGGTAAAGTACATGTTGAGACGACTAAAAGATCACTGGGTAAGGCACATACTGTTTGGAAAACGTATTCATCTTCGCAGATCACTTCATTCCAACAACTTGGACAACAAATATCCGAACTACAAAAGGTGAATTATAAACAATCAAATACAACTGGAAATTTAAAACTTTTTTAAAAAAAGATCTCCAATGAAACGATGGATTGCAACCCCAATGCTTTTTAACATACCTGTAAACAATGGAATCCTCGCCCTTTACCCGTTTAGTCAAAAACATTTCACCGCTATCATTCACGCTTAAACTTTGTATTTTACCGTCAACAAATTGTTCACTGATCGTTTCACCATCCAGTGTCATTACTTTGAGCAACGTTAAACCTGACATATATTCCGAATAAGCATAAATTATCTGAAAAGGAACAAAGATGATCAAGAATTGCCTTTGACGAAGCAACGCCTACAAACATCATTCATATGATTACCTGTTAAGGCATAACTCTACTAGATGCTCTCAAATATACCATTATGAACAGTTCTTATATGACTGATTAGGTTATGCCTAGAAATCTAATAATATTAGCAAGAAAATGACACCTTATCTTCACAAAATGACACTTGACAAAATGGTTCAGCTTTTTTTGTAAAATCATTTTTTTCCTGGTAAAGCAATTCGCCGAACCGATCCATTTTGAACAATCCTCCCTTGGTTGCTACCCAAATATTTCGCATATTATCAAGAGAAATACTGAAAAAACAGGCATAAATAAAAAAGGTGAAAACGAATGAAACAAAACAAACAGTTGACTTATAGAGTATATATACAGTAGTGGCAATGTTACATGATAAGCTGAGTACTTTTTTCTCTTTTAAAGGAACAAACAAAAAATAAATTAACACTACATTGGGGATAGAAAACAATAGGATAATAGTTTTTCAAACTTGAAATATATTCGAAATATTCATTTTAACTTTTGATAAAAAAATGTTCTTTACCTGTATGGTACTCGAGCGCCAAGCGGTGTTAAATGTACGAACATTTCCGCAGTGCGTTGATGATTAGCAGTATTTGACAGTGTTTCTGTCATATTGCGATATGTCGCAAAATGGTATTGCAATAATTACTCGAAAATATGAAATAAAATCCGAATTAGAGGATCTCCTAATTATATTCTTCCAAATATAAAATTTGAAAATCTCCTAAAATCTTTTTATTTCTTTCTTCTTTTATCATCTATTTCTTAATCATTAACACCCTACAATTTACAATTCTATCTATATCATTTTGTCTCTAATAATTTAAATTTATAATTTTCTTCTACATGTTTTCTCATCATTAATCAATATTTTCCATATCTATATTTCCCATTTATTAACAATCATTGTTGTTTCACTCCAGAACAATGGAAATCACCGCATATTTCTTTCTCACTACTTCAATTTCTTTCTCATCCTTTAACTTAATCGATCTTCGAAAAATAGTCACTTCTGTTCTCTTCTCTTCATTCTTTACTCTTCAATTATTTAAAATATATCACAACATAAAAAACACTATCCTCATGCCTTGTACCACACCACAACAAATTGTATGAATCCCGATCTAACATCCGGAAAACTGAAAATCACAATTTCAATCGTAAATCGCCTTTCGATATAAGACACTGTTACACTGTTGCAGCATTTTCAATCACATTTGTCCGAAATCTATCCACAGATTTAAGACACGCAGAAAGAAAAAAAGGATTATTAATTTAACATAAACAGAAAGAAGAAAAGAATTGTTACATCAAGAAAGTAATATGCATTTTGCAATGATTGTAATGATGCATGCTGCATGCGCAACATAATAAACAAGCTGCATGATAATATGCATATTTAACGTGCTGATAATTATATCACTGATTCTATATCAACAATGCTAATTGTATTTTTCATTTCACTTCATTTTCAAACTAAGACAAAATCTGCAATTTTGCAGAAAAGTATCATTTTGTCAAACGAAATCTCGCAAGTGTGGTTGCTAATTTAATCCGCACACGCGCAACACTTAGATCAACGTGATTGGTTAGCTATCCTAAAGCTCTACTTTTATCAGTAAGCTCATTTATCACTATTTCCACATTTTAAGATCACTGCTATCACTATCAGCACGGCTATCACTATAATTACTGCTTAAATTTCATTATATTAATATGACAATAAATATTCCTAACCTCTTCTGTTGTTTTTTGGTCGATGGTTTTAGAAGCTTTGTTATCATTTCAATTCTATTCTGAATATCCAATAATTAAGAAATCCTAAAACATAGAAAAAAGTGCAACATTTACTTTGTTGAAAAATTAAAACTAAACTTCAAAATGTTAAAATGAAACAGCTTCAACACAACTTATGTAACTAAAATTATTTATATTTGAGATGGATGAAGATGGAAAGAATATTAGCGATGATATATCAAGTCTTTTACATGCGGCTGAAGAATGGGCAGATGAACGATTGCTTCCTATAAATTCATCACATGATTTTGATAATTCAATTTCTTATGTTGGTTTTTAATTTTTGCAGGAATTTCAATTAACTTAAATTTTATTTTTCTTACAAAATAAGGTAGTAGAACTTGATAAAACATAATAATCTATTATTTATTATAGTAAATAGCAAAACTTATTGGCAACATGAATATCGTATAGCTTTTAACCAACGAGTTAGATAAATACTTTTTCGAGAATTGCATTTTTTCTTTTTTCTTTTTTTTTTTTTTTTGCTCATATTGAATATTATTTAAAAATAGGATTATAATATTTTTTGAATAAAATAAAAAGAATTATAATTCACGCAAAAAAAGGAAAAAAATCAATGATAGTATTTTGTAGCCTATTCATGTACCGGTTGAGGAAGTTGCTGGACAAGTTGCCTTAGAGCTATGCAAAATTTATAATTGGGATCCTGAAACGGGCGCTGATAGGCGACTTTCAAGACGAAATGCCAGTGATACAACGTCCATACAACAGTCTTCAGAAGTACCAATTTTTTGCAATATTTTTTATTTCTTTAATGATTTTATCTTTCTTTTGTGAACAGAAGTAATTTCTTTTCAAATTCTAAGGTTGCCTCATCAGCAAAGCATGTCGAATATCATGAGCAGGACATTTTGCCTGATATATTTCAACAACCGGATGTAATAACATTCGAAGATAATATAAATAAAACATATACCGTAAAAAAAAATCCGCTTAATAAAAAGGAACAGTTGGATAAACCTGCCGAGGTAATTCAAAATAATAATATCATAAATGAAAGAAAAACTTCGCATAATATATCGGAACAATTTTATAAACCTGATCAGGTAATTCATAATAATGTTGCTGTTTCCTTTAATACAACGAAAGTAATGAATGTACCCAATCAGATAATTCATGATGATAATATCATGAATAAAACACTAGCCTGTATCTCACCAAAAATGACGAAAGAATTGGACAAACCTAATCAGGTAACTCAAGATAATTTGAAGCAAAAGTTAACTATGACTGAAAAAATTGCCATGCTTTCCGTCCCGGATACTATTTCTTCTTTGACTGCCGGCATCTCTTATGGTAGTAAAATTATTACTGTAAACAACGCTGAAAGGAACACTTATATTTCACCGAATGATAACTGTCCCGGTATAATGAATCAAAATGAAATGTCTAATGCAGAAGGAAATCCTCAAAGTATGAAGCAAAAATTCTTTTCTGTTGCTTCCGAAGAATTAGCTGTAAATTGTGCACAAGATACTACACTTTTCTCTGGAAAAATGGATTGTCGAGAACTTCCAGACAATAACCTCACCATCACTATTCCTCATACAAAATCTCCAAAAGAAACCCAAAAAACATCAGAAATAACAAATTCTGGATCAAATGATATCAATGAAAAAAATATTAATGCTTATGGAAACGGAAATATTGTCAACTCACACTGTTCAACAGATAACGATGACGTTATTATTACCACAGCTAATTTTTCATTTCCTGCTGTTGAAACGAGCATATTTACTGATAATGAAATTAATCGGTCAACTGTCTCGAAGGTTGATGAAATTATCAAGTCATCTTTTTCAAATTTTTCGCCGAGTGCTACTGATACAAAGAATATTACGAACTTACCTGAGAACGATATTTCAATTCCAAAGATCTCTGTTATCGCTAATATAACACCACAACAATTTTCACAGCATTCTGATGAAAATAAGGAAAGTTTGATGGTCATTAACTCAACGGAATTCAATTCAATTCGAAATGATCATTGTGCTTTACCGGAAGAAAATCGTGCTTTAATCATTGAGTTAAATAATAGATTAAATCTCTTACAGAATAGTATCAGGCCATCACAAACTATAATTCAAGAAGTTGACAATCAAGATCTTATTTCTTCCAAAACAACAAAGCAATCGGAAAAATATTTGTTGACTGTACCAGCAAATTTAAATCTAAGTCCTGCCGTTAAAGAAATTAAAAATAATGCTATGATGGCATTACCAAATATCAATAATTCTATGCAAACTGAAAGCAGTACATATTTGTATGACAGAAAAAATTACGCAAATTTGGAAACGAATATAGATGCTGAAAATGCATCAAAGAACCAATTAATTATCAGTAATGAAATTACGGATCCAATGACAAATGTAAATGATGAGCGTATTGCTGCGAATAATCAAACGCAATTTTACCTGGAAAATCACTTGGATCATCTGGAAAAACGTTGTAAAGAAAGTAAAGAATTTCAAACGTAAGTACCTCATTTTTCTGTTTGCATATTTTATGGTAAAATATAGTTATGCATACGATGTAACAAAAGATTATATCATACACGTTAAAAGCGATTCCCTAAATAGCTTTCGAGCAACTTATACGTTGATTTGATGTATAATCATTAAGATATGTAACATATTCATAGAAGAAAAAGTTTTTAAATAAATTTGCAATCTAATTTGTCAAGCACGCACCATTAATAAAATATTCTAATAAACACATTGATTCAGTTATACAATGATTTTAAAACAGAAAATAGAGTCACTCATAATGATTTGTATAATCACTGACGTGGATTTTTTATTATTTTGAAAAAATTTTGAAAAAATAGAAAATTTTCAAAAGCATATAGGAGAAGTTTCACGATGATTTGGAATAATATTTCTTTTCCTCAGACGACTCTCGTTTCAGAGATGCAATCGGAAAGGAATTCATAACCAGATCTATAAAAACAGATCAGAAAAATGAAAATGAATCGGACAAAATTGTAGATGACAAATTAAACAGGTATAGCAAGAAGACACTGTTGTATATTTTTTGTAAAATATATTCTTTCATAATTTATATAGATTTCGATTTTTTAAAAATCTTTTTTAAAATTTTTATTTTAAAAATTTTGAAGATTGTTAATTACAATTCAATTATCTGCCAGTTTATTATTTTTGTTATTATTATTCTCCCAACTTATATGTCTTAATAGTCTTTTATCCTTTATTTATAATGACACTTGATCTAATATCCTAATCATTGATTTATTAATTGAAATTAATTGTCTAGTGATTAGGAAATAATAACTAATAATTTCAAGTTCACCAAATGGAGAAAATCAAATTAATACAGCTGAAAATACTTCATTCAATAAGTCGTTAACAGCAATAAATTCTTTTAAAAACAGTACTGACGAACAATCAATAATGGGCAAAAGCAAGTATTGATTGATCTACTGCAGTGGTTTTCCTTTGCTTATAATAATAATATTTCTGTTACTAAAATACCTAATTCAAAAAAACGGACACAGAAAATTTGCGTAACCTGAAATAATTTCTATTTATATATATTTATCACATTTTTTTTGGTCATTAATTGTTGTTAATAAAATATTTATATTATTTTTAATTAAAATTAAATGTTAAAAATTGGCTAACATTAAGGATCATTTTTGGATGAGCCAATTAAATTTTTCAACTACTTATCATCATCAGCGCGACGAAAATCATGTCCATCTTCGACTAAGCAAAATCCCGCTCAAACTAATAAATTTTCAACACGAGCTGGAATGCGAGCAAAAACAGTTCGTGAAATTCTGAAAACTCCAACAATTATGACAGTAAACATTCATTTTGTTAATATTTTTTTTTTCTTTTGCATATTTTAAAGTGCATCAAAATTTTTTTAAGTATTAATCTCGCAAAAATATCGCACAAAGCAAAAGAAAATTTTTAAATGGTAATTTTAACAAAATATTATGGGGAAAAAAATAAGAAATTTGCATACATATTTAACATGCTTCAATGATGAGATAAAGTAAAAAAATAGTACTAAAAAATAAATTGAACAAATAGTTTGTGATAAGGGCAAATTGTTGAGTAATTAATTACTAATATATATTGACTCATTCGATTTTTTTTTGATTTCTCTCTCATTAACCTAAATCTATCTACCATGACAATAATCATTTTAGCCTAAGCCTATAGTAAGCATTCTAGTCCGATGTTGTTCGAAAATTGAATATCAGACAAAATTCGGGCTCAGTTCATTCGACAGGACGGGTTAATCCACCGAAGAAACCAAATAGATTACCACTGGAAACTCGCGCTTCTCGTCTGAAAGCTAATTATTTAGCGAAGGAACGAGCTGAAAAAGAAAATGGTTGGAAATTATTGGATTGAGTTATTTGATAAATTGATAAAGTTTATTAAACTCTTTGTTTAATAATTAATATTTACTCAAATTTCGGTTTAAACTTCAAGATAATTCCTAAATTTGAGTGTTTTTTTTTTTTTTTTTTTTAAGTTAAGATAATTTTGCTATTTGTTATTCAATTCGCTAAATGAACTTATTAGCATCTCCTGTACGCGGTAAAATCCAGTTAAAATGAGAACAGAAATTGGATAACTTAAGTGAAAGGTTTATGATGCATAATTTTAAAGCACATTTACTACTTATGTAATTTAACTGATCAAATTATTCAAAAAATTACTCGTTTTTGTACAAGATTCAAACTTTCCAATCAATTAAATTTCCTTCTTTCCTATCAAAAATCAAATTATTTGTTTTTAATGTAAATATGTCAATGAATATACAGGAAATAACCTTTAAAATGAATACAAATTAAGTTTTCTGCCTAATTCAATCAATTTTCCTTCTTTTTGTTGGCAATTATAATTTTTATTTCAGCAAAAAGATTAAAAATGATTGAAGACCAAAATCTATCACCTATAACAGCTGGTCGTTTGTCAGTGTTACGAAAAATGTAAGTTAGAAATAAAATAATTTTAGTGCACATTATTTTTCTTATATGCATCAATATTTCTTTATAGTAACCAGAAAGCAGTTTATCATTTCAGATTACCATCCGCTTCTCAGAATCATATAAAATCGATTGATGTCAAGAAATCAAAGATACCGTTAGTTTAAGTTTCAATAATTCTACATTTTAGGGATGAAAGATATTGTTGCCAATTATTAAAATACCATAAGAGTATCCTATTATTTGTAATCTGAAAACAGTTTACCATTTTCAGGATTCCATCCGGCACTAAGAATCCTTCAAAATCGGATTGTTCCAGAAAATCAAATATACCGTTAAGTTTAAGTGTCAATAATCAAGTTTGCGATTTTGGGAAAAAACATACTGTCCGCCAATTACTAAAGTACTTTATTATTTGTAATAATCAGAAAACAGCTTACCATTTCAGGATATTATTCGGTTCTAAGAATCCAGCTAAACCGAGCAGTTCTAGAAAATCAAATATACCATTAGCTTTAAATCGCAATAATGGGCTGAATAGTTTTCGGAGAAATACACTACCACCAATTGTTGAGACGCCACAAGCAAGCAGACGGAAAAATTGGATGAAAGAATTTGAAATATAAAAAAATACTACCTATTAGATGGTTTCGATATTAATTTTTGTAATTTTTAAATGATTCATGTATAAGAATATCAGCAATTAAAATGAAATAAATACTACAATTTTTTTTTCTTGTTAACGTGGCTAATTTTTTTTTACGACTTGATTGAAAGAATTAACTGGAAGGATTTCTACAAAGTCGAAGTTATCTTTCTGGACACCATTTTAGCACTAAATGAAACATACTTCGGTGTTTTACCATACATTTCAACTATTTTTTTTTTACTTAGCTTACTCAATTACTTAACTGTTTACTCATTTACTAACTGGCTTACTATGCTTCCTGATAACTTACTTACCTCTTTGTCTACTGTTTATTTTTGTTTTCATTACTGATTATTTATTTTTGAAGATTGATCTATTCGCATATTTGTTTCTCACTAATTAATTCATCCATTCATATAATTTGTTAATTATTACTTAATTTATTATTAATCTAATAACAAATTTCTCATTCACTAGACTAATTGCTCACTTGTCTACTAATTTACCCACTTATTACTAACATTTTTTATTAACATAAACTTACTCATTAATTTGCTATCTATTTATAACTAGTTGCGACCTATTTATAAGGAAACTTATTTACAATTACATATGCATTTGTTTATTTACTAATTACCAATATATTTACCAGTCATAACTATGAATATTAAATCCATCTCATTATTTGTCAAAAATTTCAATTTCAAATTCAGTTGTTAAAGCTTAATTTTTCTCCTACATTTTAGTATTTCTTTCTCTTTTTCCCCTTCTTTTTTTAAAAAAATTATCATCTAATTATCAAAGAAAACATAAAATTTTTGTTTTAACATTAAAAGAACACAATTTTAATAAGTTTTAATTACAAGTTTGAAAATACAAAAACACCTCGTTGTATGTAATTTGCATTGTTGGACGTACTTTCCACTGCTATATATATATAGTCTTATTACTGCACGTAGTTTTAATTACTACACGTAGCTTTTATGTTACATATAATTTTCACTGTTACACATAATTTGCACTGCTGAACGTAGTTCGTATTTTTGCACGTAGTTTTCCACTGTTGCACGTTATTAAATAATGGTTGTGTATTTGGGAGAAGTGCTGGGAGTAATTTACTTTTTTCTTTTTTTTTCCTCTTTTTTTTTACTTCACATATGGCAGGCATATCTCGCACTGTATTTTGCTTTTTACTTTTCCAGAAGACGTTAATTAATTATTGGTAGTTGTAGTAGAAATTTCCATATATTCTAGAGATATATCATATAAATGCACTTTTTCTCTTTGCTTTTTTCTATATATATAAGACATTTAATAAATGTTAAGCATAAATTTATTTAAAACACAATTTTTAACGTAATATTCACCTTTTAATGATAATTTATAAATAATGGAATTGAATATAAATGATATGAAATATTCATTTTCACTAACAAATATTATTTGCATAGATAAAACGTTCAATTGTACTATTTTAGGCTGTGTCTAAGGGAAAATCAACCGGTAGTAAAGTGCAATGCATCGAAATATACAACGAACAATTTTAACACCACAGTTCAGTTATGTGCAGGATTTTTGGTTTGCAGATAGTAGTGAAGAAAAATGGCTTACTTATGATAGATTATCCAGCACATATATGGTTAACGTTATAATCAACTTTAATTACATGTAATCAGTGATAATAATAAATTTCATTTTTCATTTTTTCTTCGAATTCTTAACAAATATCTGAATCAGTTTTGTCTGTGATAATCCTCAGCTTCTTTTATTGTTTCAATAAATTAGTAGTGAATAAATTTTAACTAGCTCGAGAAAAATGTGTTTAATTGGGTTCAGTTAGCTGAATTATCAGTAATTTGAATCTGCTTAATGAGTAGTTAATAAGTTAGTGGTTTACTCTTTATACTAAAAATTATACAAAAATGATCAGGACTCCGTAAAAGTCATTTTAATTCTCTCACATATTGAATATCATAACTACGATAAAGTTTTTAAAGTGCAAATATGGAATTCATCTTCGTGAAAAAAATGTTCACAAAAGCCAACTAGGGTAAACGTAAAACTAATTTTAGCGCAGTAAAATATTTAAGCTTAAGGAGGAAAAGAAGCCTTATCTTCTGTTTTTGGACATACAGTTCTCATTTGTCATGAGAAGTTAGTAAAAGGTATCAAAATGGATTTAATATATTGTTGCAATTTTTTTTCCTAGACTTTATAAAAAAGTCTTTGTAAATCCTTGTAAAAAAAAAACATCTTTTGAAAGATTGTTGTTGAATTGATATCGAATGAGACGAACATAGTTTATTTGATGTTATTTGACTAGTGATCTTATTTTGTTCAGAATAGCATCAATGCATATGGTCGCATTACCAACTTCTTTCATCGCAAACAGAAATTTATTCCTGGTCAGAATAAGCTTTCTTTTTTTTATTATTTTTACTTCCTTATTTTTACTGGCAAATTGCAAGCAATTGATCCTAAAATATTCGCCAGCTAAGCACTCTGAGCCATTTTGTTTCAAAATTCACAAAAACTTCCTTTGATATCTGCATCACTCATATAACTTCTTAATGTCTTATTTATTGAAAACTATAATGTGTATTTCTTAAACTAATGGCAGCAATTCAGTACGGAATGTGGATAAGATGCAAGTCAGAACGGTTAATGAAAAAACACCTCTCGGGATGTTTCGAGCACTTCCACGAGAATTGCTGTTTAGCCTTTTTGATTGGATATGTGGTTCATTTTTTCTCACTTTTTTTAATTTTATGTTAACTCTTTTTAAAAATAGTAAGTTTAATATCAGATATGATCATTCAGTCATTCAAGCCGTCATAATGCTCATATGCAGCGTATGCTTTGCAGTTCTGATCATATATAGAATACTGCTACAGTTAATGATTTAAGGAAAAATTTACACTTGCCAACATTTGTAAATTTTATATATCCATTCTTTGTGCATTTTTCAGCTAACCAATTACTATCCCTTAGTTTAACATCGAGCACCTTTAACGGCGAAGTTCGACGCTATTTGTTGACGGAGAATGCGCGTCGAAGATTTTTGATTGAAACTATAGCATATATGGGAGATGATGTCATTGAAATGGACCCGTTTTATACATGGGGTCAGTTCCTAAAATTAAAAACCATTTGTCGGAACATTATTTTGTTGCTGAACTGCTGTTACATCTCTTAGGTATGCTGTTAAAGGCGAGCACGATTGTTATGGATCCTCAGAGTCGCCGTTCATTTTTAATTTGCTTCTACTGCAAGGTAATGCTTACTGAACTATGAAAGCTGTTGTCACATTCTCTTGTTAATACCTTGTTTCAAATAATTCACTAATTTTCAAATTTTTTCAGAATGAAAACATCACAAATTGGTTTGGTTGGGGTCGATGTTTCATGGCGGTATGTTTGGAACTGATCTCAAGAGAAAAGTGTAATTATAAAATTTGAAACAACAATATTTATTACTATAAGATGATGATTGGTTTTTCTGATATCGGATTATCTCTTATATTTATAAATGATTGATAAGCGTATCATAAAAGAAGTAAAATATAATGGATATGATTTTCTTAACAGTGAAAGTGTATTAATGATAGGATTATCAAAATTAAATCTTTTTATATTTATTTCTTGTAGTTTTGCGAAAAGTGGGATTTTCGCGAATGTGAACGGCTAATGAGCATGATTCTCTATTCCACTGAATCGGATCTACTGTTGTCCAAAATTTTGTCTGAAGAAGTTGGAAAGTATCCATTATTAGAAATAAAGGTGTAAAATTTTATTTTAAAGCTATTTGGATTGAAGATAGAACAGACAGTGAATGGTATATGAAACAGATATCTGTTTTTGTTTACTTAGTTGTCTTTTCTAGTGATTGTTGCTATTCCAAGTTCCTTTAGTAACGTAATAATATAGAAACTCTTTTTGCTGTTTCTACTGAACATGATATAAAATATTGATTGTAATCATTTCTTTACAATTTCAAGGTTCGACAACGTCTTCAAAGTTTGTTTTTGGAACACACAACAAAAGATGAAAGGGATTATGGATTCTGGATTTCTGCCATTTTACGCACCCAAGAAACAACAGAACTTCAAGGAAAATTGTTTATGATTATGTTCGGACCGATAAAAATTACTCTAAGCAGAATTGGTAAGTACTTTTCATAATTGTAGTTCTTCTGAACTTAGTCAGAAGTTCTTGTAAGACTAGACAATCTAGTAAAAAATATTTTTGCACTGATTTTATTTGCTTTGTACTATAGTTTTATGTTGTATTGTAAAAAAGAAAAAAATTGCAGAGACTATCGATTGGGAAGTGTTATGTAACGAAACTATTAATGTGCAGCACATATGTACAAAATTACTAGGCTCGATAGCGCGCGGCATTCATCACCTGATGACCACTTCAAATCTTGGGTGCTATGCGTGGACTGATAACCAACTTTCCATTTTAATGGAGGAAATATCGAGTTAGTGTTCCGCTAACTCTTTCCCAACGGAATTGTCATGTTTTACCACTAAAATGTTTATCATGAACTAAACGGGATCTTCCAAAATATTCAAAAAAAAAATATCAGATAATATTCAATCCAAAATATTCAATTTAGCATTTTTCAGTGGTTCCTAACAGATGGGCACTTCACAATTTTGCTGCGTTACTTGCTCTCAATCCACAAATTATTCACATAGCTTTATTCAAGCGACTATCAGAAGGACGAATAGATGAAGCAGCGCATATTTTCCATGCTGTCAAGACTGTCAGTACACTTTTTTAGTGAAAAAAAGTCAGAAATGCGATAATCAAATTAGCTTAAGATGCATTCCAGTGAATTGTCTTTTGTATGATTTAATAATGACTGACAAGGAATGTTGCTTATGGATATTTTATATTTTTCCTCTTCAACTTTTGTTCTTGAGATTTACTATGTGGTATGAAAGCCTACTGATAGAATCTGTCGGTTAAATCCTCTTTTCTCTCTTTTCACTTTTATCTCGAATCTAAACTCTCCAGATTCTACATCGATGGGGTATTTTCGTTAGCGGAGCCGTATCTGATGTAATGCTCAAAACATTTCGATCTATGTCAGAGATTAATCGCCGATCGTTCTTATCTTCAGTACTGAAGATAGAATCGTACCAGCTTAGCGGATTACTTCTTAACATACCGTGTAGGTCCTTTTCATGATTTTTATTTTCTTAATCACCATATGACTTGTTGAGCGGAACAGGTTCAAAATTATACAGGGAAGCTGGGATGAATAAGAAAATGAATTAAACTAATGATGCAGGGAAATAATTTTATGTAAAGAAAATGCATATAAAACAATAGACCAACACCTATATTGCCATTGAAACCAAAATTAGTTGCGAAATGATTTTTTTCGCATTATTTTTATTTTCCAAACCATTGATAATATTCTTTTTCTTAGTTTTGGTACCACTCTAGTTTATATTTTGATTTATTTTTTCTTTTGACACAGTCGATAATTTACTTTCCGTTAACAGATGAGATTGCAGTTAATGTTGAAACCTTTCATACCGAACTCTCTTCCGCACGTTCCATATCAGCGCTAATAATACTACTTGCGAAGAATGTATGAAGTTGGAACGAGTTTAGCATCACACTTTTGATATTATCCTAAATATTCAGTTTTTCTTCCGTATTAATTTGCTGTAAATGTGAATAATTTTCCGGTGGATTGCGCAAAAACAATCAAATGTAAAGTATCAGATATTTAAACAGCAATAAAAATAAGTGGTTCAGACTAGCTATATGCTATCAGTTCAACTGTTAACTATCAGTTCAACTGAGTAAGTCCAACTGTTAAAAATCGTTTTTGGTAATCAGTAAATGGATTAAAATAATTAAATATGTTTGATTTTCAGGTTGTTTTTATCCGTTAAAACTTTGGGAGAAAGTAAATTTGTTTTTGCTGGTTTACTGTTTCGATTTCTTCCTTTTTATGATTAAACCTTTCCGTAAAAATTCCATACTGCTGTACGATCTGCTTGTTTGGAACTCGATTTCGTTTTAACTGTCTTCTTTTATATAAGTTTCCAGTTCACCTGTTTATTATTATGTTTGTGTTTGCCTCATTTGTGGCATTTGGGTATTATGTATCATATGTTTCTTTTTGCTGGGCATTATAAAAAGAAAAATCACGAATAAACTTTTTAATGACTACATCTCTATATTAATGAGCAACTCATTTATTTCCAAGATGTAATCTTTTTTTAAAATAATGTTTGAACTTAGATTTAAATTATAAGCGATACGATTTTTCTCTACTTATCATCTCCATTAATGAAATTGAGATTGAGGAGACAGTGATGGGTAAATGAATATAGTGCTGCAAGTTGGTAGATTTAAAGTGGGAAAATCAAATTTTGAATGGGGAAGAGTTTTGAGAATTTTTACTACCAAATGGTAATATTGTGATTTGAGTTCTTATTGTACGTGTGGATTTTTTTTTTTTAAGAGAGGTTATCGGTTTTATGATTGAATTGGAATTTACGATAAGCTTATATTCTTGAACTATTCACAAAATTAGTGTGAGTGCTGTTAATGTGGATTTTGCAAGATTTTATTCCTATAAAATAATGGATTTTTGGTTAAGAATTTTCAACCATTTTAATTTTATGATTTTTGATTATTATTTTAGGGGTAGCAAGATTGATGCGAAGGAAAACTTGTGAAATCTGTCAACGAGCCAAGAATCGACATAAAACGAGGAAAAAAACTGGAATTTTTTGGCACAGCAGTCGTGGTTTAAATCGTATAGATTGGAGATACAGGACTACTAGAAAATTATTCCAGAAATCATCGGTACTATGTTCGATGCTGTTTCAGTATAAACAATTTGTGGTAATGTAACTTTAGAACTTAGTTAAAACTGCTTACAGGCAATGTTGGTAATGCGTAACAACAGACATGGAACTAATGAAGTTGATAAGCATGAAGGATCTAAAATTACCAACATTGTAATGCGTAACAACAAACATGGAACTAATGAAATTGATAAACAGGAAGAACCTAGATTTAATCCTAATCCTAGATTGCAAGCCCTCATAGAATTATTTAAAAAAGAGGATGAGTTAGAAGAAGGTTATTATATATTTTTTGCTTCTTTACCGACAATGAGAAAGAAAGCAACATAATTGCTAAATGCAAAATAACTATTGTTTGAATAGTTTGGTTTATGGATATTTGTGAAGAGAAGAAAGTTTGGCGGTAGTTTAACTTCATGCAAGTGCAAAAAAGGTAAGATGAAATTTAGAATTGAAATTAATGATTATTTTGCTATAAATGGAACTTAAAATATTTTCTAGTGCATTCTCCAAATAAGAGTGCAACTATTCTGTCAGAATTCGTGAATGATGTTGAAGCTGTTGATGATTCACTTCAGCCATCTACTTCGACTTATGTTATGAATCAAATATCAGAAGCAATTCCAGTCGCCCAATCCAAATCAGCAGAAAAACCTAGCTTAGCACATTTCAAGTTTAGTGCTTGTTTCGACTATTATTTATCAACTAGACTTATGTGATTTCAATCTTTTCTATTCTGTGATAGGTTTATAATATTCAGAACTTCCACTGATTGTTAGAATACAGATTATTCCATATTAAATGTCAATGTTCTGAGAGATTTTTCGATCTCATCTGACAATGTTGGTGAATTTTAGTAATGAATATAATCAATTGAGAATGATATTAAAAAAAAGAAATTTTCAGATTGATGAAATAACGCTTCAACAATGTGCAGATGTATTACATCCATCCCCAGTTCCTGATTAGTGTATGGAAACTGACCATCGATAATGATATCTGATGTAATGGAATTTAGGCTTTCGTAATTTTTAGCAAATTTTTTTTTTTTTTTAAATCTTATCAGTTACTTTTTTGAATAAGTAAGGAATAGTATTACCAGAACTTATTATCATAAAATTATGTTTTTCTTGATTAAGCATCACAATGCTTAAATCATGTTGTATAGTACAACCTGGCTGATTTTTAAATGCTATGTTGGTACGTTGGCCGTTGGCATGTAATACTACATAACATATTTTCTGTACTACATTTTATCTGTATGTTTATTGCTATACACTTTTTAAAAAAGAAAAAAAAAAAACAAGTTTTGTGAGCAGTATGGCAAGTTGCTCTAATCATTCATGAATAGTACATGTGAGCATGAAAATACTAGGATATTCAGTCAAAAACCGTATATATATATCGGCGTGCGCTCGGTGCTACAAGTCGTCTTCCAGTGATAGGGTCATAATCAGTTACATCCTCATCCGATAATGTACTACTTCCACTTTTGCAATCATCATATCTTTCCAATCGTACTGGTGGTTGTTCATCAACTCTTTGACCCGTCTGAATGCATTTATCTGCACGATTTGGCCTGGTTTGGGTTATCCTAAAAAGATGTCAGCTTATTTGAATTTTTGCGATCTAAATGTTTTTTTTATGAGTAAAAATTTACTATTAAATATAACAGTGCTAGTGCTACTGCAACGGATAAAGTTCTTATAATTTTGGCGATGAAGATTGACAAACTAACTAAGGCAGGTCAAAAAAAAAAAAGAAATTTATGGGCACAGAAAAACTGTTCTAATAAGATTGAAAAGAAATCGGGAAGTATTTCGTCTATTTTTATGATTTAGTTTTTATCAGAAGACTAACCTGTTTACCATAGAGCTTCTTTGTCGCCATCTGTCTTCAAGAAGTTGCTTTTTATGCTCATCCATCGCTATGTAAATAAGACGGTCTTGTATTGGTTGTGCTTCACAAAGCCTCAAATTTCGTTAATTTTATAATTTCATATTGATCTGTTTGGAATGTATAATTTCTTTTGTCTTTGTCATTTTTTCAATTACATAATCGATCTTTTATGATAATTTATAAATATCAACCACTTATCAGATGCACTGCAAAATCAATCATTTCTTTCGCAAAATGCGCTCAATCTTTCAAAGGTGAAAACATTTTCCTCGCAAAATATTTTTGTTACATTTAACTTAAGATTTTGTCAGAAAGCGAAATGATTGTACATATACAATATGCAGATAACCGTTTAACGCCTTCCTTCTCATCCGGTATAACAGTCATCGTTGCGACATCCGGGTCGATCTGTCTTATTCGATATTGGCTATCGATTGAACGAATCATTCGATCAAAGATTAGACGAATTTTTGCCTGTAACAACAAACCCTAGGCAGAATGTTAGAAGATGTTTTCCAAAAATTTGTAACAACAAAGTTTTCTGTTCAAAATTTTCCTCTAATACCTATTTCTATTAAGAAAAAATGGAAATAGGTATATAGGAAACGGGTATGTTATATATATATTAAGAAAAAAGAGAAAGGAGAAAAGATGCACAGATAAGCACATTTATGAAGACTAGAATGATTAAATAAATTTTAGAAAAAGTTTTTCAAATATTGATTAAAATGCGGAGTTGAAGAATGACCTACCTGTACAATGGAAACACATAAGCCAACCACGGAAAGACCTATCATTGTAAGAGCCAAATTAAAAATAATGTAATTTGGTGTTTCTGTAACGACATCACCAAGTCCTAAAACTCATCTGTGAATAATTAACAGCGCTTATAGAAGGTATCTTTGCTTTGCAAATTTTTATAAGTATTGTTATTTTTTTAATATAAAACTATCATTTTATGCTTTGATTAGTTTCTAGCACTTTTAATCATTAATTTTATATATTCCACAAGCAAGATTTCTTCTAAACATCTGTTTACTTCTTAATACTCTCACATCTGTGAAATTTTCTTCATTTTTAACTTCTCATAAAGAGTGATAAGTTTCTTTTTTTTGTTTGAAGTTCGTTTTTCAAAGTTCTATTTTCTGAAATATGAACCAATTGTAGTAAGTGATGTGAAGAAATAATAATAAGCGGTAAAATAAGTCCAATTAGTTTCCCAGAGGCGTACAACAAAGGCGCTAATTAAAATCCACAAGAAGAAAAATATGAATGCAGCCTTAAGCGGTACAGTGCGCTGTTTCTCGACTTCGCTAAGTTCAATTGGTAGCTGTGATATTTTTTTACCACTTTCTATCTAAAATTCAATTATTAGGCATATTAAATTTAAACACTAAGTAATTTACTTAGTAAGAAATTTGTATATTTTTTTAAGAAAGAAATTAAAAAATTAGTTTCAAAGTGAAATGAAAACGAACATTATAAAATATATGTATTTTTTTTAAACAAATAAATTCTACAAAAAATAAAAGTTTTCATTGATGATCACAAAAAAGACAGTATGGAAAGACACGTCATGAAATAACATATAAACTTACCTGATGATCAGTTTGGTGAAGATCATCATGTTTATGTGATAATTGAGTTAATGGCCCAAGTGATGTCAATCTAAGTGATAAGTCACTTCCAGCACGACGGCTTCTAAAAAAGTAAATGCGACTTTTCTTCTTTTATTTTACACCTATACATATTTTTGTTATTGCTATTATTATTATTGTCATTATTATTATTATTATTATTATTATTATTATTATTGTTGTTATTATTATCACTTCTTATTATCATTATTATTACCATCTATTATCATTATCATTTCTTATTACTATTATACTATTATTATTGTCACGATTATTATTATTAATTATTGTTACTAAAAGCGCATATTATAATCTCTTTTGTCTTTTTAAAGGCAGATAGAAACAATTTCATTTAAATAGTAAATGATTTCAAATATAGTACCAATTCTTTTATAATAAATATTTTTTTAAATTTACATAACATCGATTATTTTTATTTTTTATTAATTCAACTGTTTGAAGTTATTTTATCCAAAATTTCCATAAAAATAAATATAAATTAAATTCTTTCATTCGAATTTTTTCCGCAAAAAAAAAGAAAGAAAATGAACTTTTCTTTTGCAAGACGTTTTTTATGATGTTTCTTCATTGCACTTGAACATAATTTTACATTGAACCATTTCCAAAACATATCCAACCAGGTATAGTACAAGAAACCCCATTCCAAAAGAATTGTAAAAACTAATGGTATACCACAAAATGCATAAATCATCGATATTATTCGACCAGCAGGTGTCACAGGAAAAAAATTTCCATAACCTAAAAAGAAAATTGTTGCATAAATTTCAATCACATAAAAAAGGTACAATAATGAATATTATATAAGATCATGCACGTAATAAAAACATTTTCTTTTCTAAATATTTAATTAAAATAAACAATGTATAATCTACGAGGAAAAATTTCTTTGAAATATTTGAATTCAATTATTGAATAATGCTGTGCAATATTATTATATAGCACATGTGGAGTTCATCTGCAATATTTAATTAAAATAACTCAAAAAAAAAAAAAAAAAAAAAAAAAAAAAACCATTCAGTGCTAATTGTTCATATATTTTAATCAGATTAATTTGCCATATTTTAAATTGTAAAAATGAAATTTGTTTTTTTTAAATTTAAAGACAACAATTTTAGTTGAACAATAAAAACTAATCAATCAATTGAATGATTTCAAATTTATTGCTCAATTTATAAAAAACTAAAAAAATTAATTTTAACAAAAATTTTCGAACTGTTGATGTATGGAAATATGGAAATGATTTATAAAATTTCAAATTACTATCAATTTTGCGGTGCACTTGAAAATTTTTTAAATTTTAAAAAATGTTTTTAAAAAAAAATTTTTTTTAACCAAATCGGAGATTTTAAAAAATGATTATAAATTTTTAATAGAGTCCTTGAATTATCAATGGATAAGAATTTGTGCAATAATTGCAAATTTTAATAGGATTTAAGAAACAATTACAAATTTTTGAATATAATTCGATGAATTATCAACGTTTAAGAATTTATAAGACATTAATGAATTTGAGTAATAATTAAATACTTATGTAAGACTTACCAATAGTAGTATATAAACTAGCAGAGTAATAAACACCACCCCAAATATTCCATTTTGTATCCGTCATTACCGGTTCTTTGATTTCAATTCCTAATTCATTTTCATACCAACGGAATGCATCACTTGCAAGTTTGATCTTGTGATTTTCTGCCTCTGATATGCTAATACTTTTATTTTGCTTATGTAATTGATCTCTGTCAATTTCCCATAATTTCCTAAATTATTGATTTAAACTTTTTTTTTTTTTATTTACACTTTTTCCTTTAGAAATTTGCCACTTTTTTAAAAATTTATTTATTACATTTAATTATAAATACGCCCATGAATACAAATAATAATATAAACAATTTTTATTATTTAAGAATAAAATTATTTGTTAATCTTCGATGTAAAAGCTAATTAATATCATTGGTTTATAAATTGAACTTTTTAGACAAAATTATTTGCAAATTTTAACACAAAAAATAATTAACATGATTCATTTTACCACTTGTTATAGTTTTTATTTACAAAAAAAGAGAAATTTATTTTTATTTTTTGTCATACTTTAATCTTTTCTATTTTCTTTGCAAGGATATCAGTTATCACTTTTGTCAAATTTAAATTAATTTATCATTTTACCTAATAAATTATATTCAATAAAGTGGAATATTTTCTAATTGCTCTATCAATTATTTATTAGTCAATTTCAAATATATCATTTATCATTGTAACATTGCAAAATAATTATCAAATTGTTGATATTATTAACAGATAAATGATTAAAACATTTATTTCTTTTTTTCTAATCTCAAACTGAAAGTTTAAATGGAAAATTTAAAATTTTATATGGTATAATAAAAATGTTTATTAATAATAATAATTGTTAATATATACTTGAAAATTTTTATTTGATACATTTTATGCTTTTCATAAAGATCCATATCACGCCTGTATTTTAGTAAAATTTCATTTTTATCGTTGCTACCTAAAAAAAAAAAATAAATAAAAAACAAATAAATGAAAACAAAACAAAAAAGGAAAAAAGAAAAAATTGAAAAAATAAAAGACTGAGACAAAAAATATTTTTAAAATTTTAATCCATTCTAGGATAATGAAAAAATTCTTATTTGAGTGGATATAACAATTTTTTTTGATAACAATATTCGCCAACAAAATAAAATATTGTTAATTTAGGAATGATCAAATATAAACCTTCAAAAATTTACCTTTTTTTTTTTATTATTTAAGAAGAAAAAATGGGTTGAAAAAAAGAAAAGGTAATTAATTCTTTTTGTAATTATATTTTTTTACCTTCAATAGCGCTAAAAACAATTCCACCAATGAAGGAATATGCAAAAAGTATAATAAGCCAAATTATATTCCGCCATATTGTTCGACCGCCTGTTGTTTTTTCAACTTTTTCATCCTTCATTGATTCCAATTTTTCTTTTTCACAATTAACCTTTGAACTTTTTTAAGTTAATGTATTCGTAATAAATTTTGAACATTTATCAAATTCAATCAATATTATAAAAATGAAAAATTTTAGAAAAAAGCAAATTTCTTTTTGTTTTTTTTTCTTTGTTTTGTTAAAATATTTGTTGTCAATTAGTTTGTTTTCAATTTTTCACTCATTTCTTTGTATTTTTTTTTTTTGCTTTTTTCATTTTCGTTCATTTCTTATTTGCCAACTTTAATACTTCAATAATTTAAGAAATTGATTTGAAATTTTAGAATTTCATTTTCTTTTTTAATTTATCAAAATAAATTTTTAGTATCTGTTTTATTTTTTATTAAAGATTTATTTCTAATCCTCATTTTTTACTCTCATTTTTATGATATTCCATATATTTCGATGTAACTTCTAGAAAATATTTCAGTTTTTCCAAAAAAAAAAAAAAAAAATTTCATCAATTAATTTGTGTTAATTGAAATTTTTCTTCTTCCTATGCTTATTCGTGAGTTCGTGTCACTATTTTTTGTTACATTTTCTGTAAAATAAAATTGCAATTAATCGAGAAGTTATTAAATACAAGAAATTAAATCACAATTAACAGACGAAATAAAAATAACTTACTTGAAAACAAATATATGAACAAGTTTCATAAGTATATTTGAATTTTAATAAATTATAAGAATTAAATAATATAAAATTGCACCTAATAATTAAACTGTATTTTAAAATATTTGTGGTTCAAAAATGCAATTCCTGCTTGTGTTAAATTATAAAAACAACTTTTTTCTATCCTTTCTTTTTGTTTTTTTCTTGTTGACAAAAATTTATTTTTTCTTTCGTTGAAACAAGTGCTATTCCATTTTTTATTTATGAAACGCCAAATTTTTGAACTTTCTAATAGAACAAAGTTTAGGCATAGAAAAAAAATTTTTTAAATTTATTTTATTAGTAAAACTAATTGCTTACTTAGAAATTACATAATGTAATATTTTCTATAACGATTTTTCTTTCATTAATCAAAATTGATTTTATTGACTTTGTGAGTTTCACTTCAATAAATACTTTTTTTTATTTTAGCAGCAATCCTAAGTTATTTTGAACTATCATTACTTACCTTGCTGAACTCAATTTACACAGTAATGTAATTTCTCTAGAACTAGAATCTTCTGCTAAATTTATAAAATTTTAATTGATGAAATTAGGAAAAAATTAGTCACAGAATAATGGAATTCTTATTCAAAACAGATGCAACATAATTAGTTATGAAAGAAAAGTCTCAATAATGTTAATAAAGGATTCAATTTGAAATAAAAAAAAGTTTAATGACAGTAAAGAATTGGAATAAAAGAATGAAATTCTGTGACTAAAATAATTGTACACACTTTTTTTTTTTCAAAATTTATACAAGAAGCATATAATTTCATTTAAAACTTATTTCGTTTTTTTTTTTTTTTTTTTTTTTTTTTTTCTTATTGAAAATATCGAAAATTTTTTGCATATTAAAGGTTGAAAGAAAGTTTTAGGATATAAAATTTATTTTCTTTTGCACTTGAAATTTGCGTTTTATTTAATCATTTGGAGCAAAAGAAGAAAAAAAAAAGAAAAAGAATGTACAAATTAAACAAACGAACATATTTCATTTAAGTGAGTAAAAAAATTTTTTTAGTGCATAAAATTTAATATCCGGATTTCCTTTTTTTTGAATTTTTTTAAATCAACAGCAATAAAACAAATTTAGCAATAAATTAAATAAATAACTAAATTTAATTAATTAATTAAATAAATGAATAGACAAAGAAACAGATAAATAAATAGTTAAATAGACAAATGAATGAATAAATAAACAGATAAACAGACCTGTTTGATGTTCTGTTGTAGTTAATTACTTCAAATAGTAGATAATAAATTTAGTTTTATACGTTTCCTCTTCTTTATTACAATCTCAAATGTTTCTACTTTCAAATTTAATTTTCAGCATCAAAACTAATTCCATTTTTTTTAAATTTATTCAAAAATTAAAAAAGAAAAATACACCTCTAATGTCCGTCGTCGTTTTCGTCGCTTTCGTCGTTTTTCATTCGGTAACACTGAATCAGTGACCATTGAATTATCCTCAAATGATTCGTTTTTTTTTTTTCAACTACTTTTTTCTTTTTTAAAATTTTGTTAAATTTTAGAAAAATGTAATAAATGAATGTAATTTTTTGTTAATTTTGTTTCCTTATTATTTTCTAATTTCATTTTCATTTTCTCATTTGCTTTTCTTTTCTCTCTCTCTCTCTTTTTTTTTTTTGTTTTGTTTTCGGAAGTTCATACTTTAGTATAAAATTAAATTTTACCTCACCAAACAGTAAAGATGGTCTTTTTTCATCGGTAAAATATTGTGGGATGGCCACTGGCGTTTGTACATTGTCAATTAAACCTATCTTGTCATCTGATATTTGATTCTTGCCATGTGTAGAAGCTTTCATCTGCACTGATTGTGTTAAATTTCGATCCAATTTATCACTATACTATCAGTAATTTATATTGAAAAAATTATCATTTGTGATTAATTAATTAATTGCTAAATATTAACAATTCCATATTGCTAATAAATTTCATTTCGATAAAATATTTTACAAAAAAAGAAGAATGTTTTCATAAGTTAGCAAATAATTGAATTTATATTGTAATTATATGTCGAGAAGAAAAAAAAAATTATTCGTTTCTAAAAATGATTACAGTCCAACCAAAGATTTTACATATTTCAAATAATAAAAAATATTTTTAGTAAGACATAACCGATTGGATAATAAGAGAAAAGAGTGGTCAAGCAAAAGAAAAGAGTGACCAATGACATCTTCAATAAATCTATTCATTCATATTAAAAATAAATTTAATCTTTCAACTTAAACTTCAACAATTTTTTAAATGTTAAAGAGTTAGAGAAAGAGAGGGAGAGAAAGATAGAAAAAGGAAAAGAATGCAGAAATGGAACTAAACTATTTTTTAATCATTTTACAAAATAGATGCTAATTTTTAAATTTAATTTTGTATTTATCAATAATTGAAGGAGAAATTTTAAATAAGGAAAAAACTTCTAAAAGAAGAAAATAGAGAAAAAAAAATGAAGAAAATATTATTATTGTTAGTTAGTTCATTTGCTAACAAACATATAATGATGTTGATATTTTAAGAGCTAAGAATTCACCAAGTATATTTAGTTGAAATGATAACTGATGCTTTTGCTTAAGCTTAGTCAAATAAAATATAAATGAAAGAGGTAGAGGGAGGGTGAAAGGATAAAATGACTTGAAGAGAGAGAGAGAGAGAAGATGGAGAAAAGAAGGTAAAGAGGTTAGGAAGTTTTTAAAATGTTTAAAGCTATTAGAAAAAAAAAACAAAAAAAGCAAAGTATATAGCAATAAATCAGATAAAACTAAAAGGTGAAACTGTGAAAAAAAAAACTTTGGCTAATATTTGAGTTTTTTTAAACACTAAATGTATGCATGTGTCTGTGAGGATGTGTTGGTGTATGAGAGAGTGCTAAGTGTATGTCTGTGCATGTGTGTATGTGTATGTGTGTGTGACTGAACTTTCTAAATAAATGGGTAAAATTTTGAATGAAATGAATTTTTTAAATAATAAATGCATATTTAAAATAGTATACTTTTTTAGAAAAATGCACATTTTAGTTTTTCAGCAATTCAAATAAGTAATATATTAAATGAGATTGTAATGCAATGGTAAGCTAAAAATTGGAATAAAAAGCAAGCAAATTGAAAAATTTTTAATTTAATTAACTTTATTATACATTATTTGATTAATTTATCTAATCTTACTAATATTAGTACGAATGAAAAATTTTTTTCAGTAAACTGACATTTGAGTATGACTAATTTATCTAATTATATGCGTTGAATTTGAAACTAAATTGATTTTATTATATAATGGAATTATAATAATATCGAAATTATTCAATGCTCAATTTTCCAGCAAAATCAACTTAAATTACAAAACAACAAGTGCAGAAAGGAAAAAATAGAAATTGAATCTAAAAAATATAAAAATTAAAATGCGCGATGTAATTCGATTTGAAATAATGATTTTAGTTCAGAAAAATTAATCAGTATCGATAGAGCAATTTTTAAACTGATAAAGCAACTAATAAAAAAAAGAAAAGAAATTCCAATTTTTGGTTCAAATTCTTAAAATAACAGAACATTTATCTTAAATCTTATTGTAATAAATGTAATAAATTTTTTGCATAAAATTAGAAGACAACTTTGACCAAAAGAAATTTCATGAACTCTTTAACTTATTCATTTCTTAACTGAAAAAAAAAAAATTTTTTTCTCGAACGCTTTAAAATGTATCTTCTAGATATATCATTTTGTTGGGACATTTTGAATTCTAGTAGCATTGTAGTCGTATCATTTTGACAATGCTACATGGATCATAAATCTTTTTATAATTTAATCGATATGTCCAGAAAAGATTGATCAGAGTAATTTTCAAACCGATATTATCAATTGGTTGATTTCACACTTTTGAAAGCACTGATAAATTGCTAAAGGAAATGCCATTGATAAGAGTTACACAAAGTTTCTTCATTTTGAAAATCGGTAATGTCAATATTTGTTAATAATATTATTCATAGACTAATTATTTATGAATTTTTTTGCAACTAATTAGTAGTTAATTTACAATATTCAAATTAAAAAAAACATATTTTATGACAATTATTTGTAATGTTAACGCTTATTTCTGAGTGGTAAATAAGTCGAAAAGTTTAAAGCTATTAATTTTTAATTGTTCAAGAGATATATATTCAAAAAATAAAAATGAAATAAAAAAGCTATTTGCTCGAAAATTTTAATAGTTTAAACTAAAATAAATATTTGATGATTTATCAGCTGATTATTAGCATTTCTCATTTTAAATCTTGTTAATTAATAATAAGCTTGACTGTTTTTTTTAGCTGTTCTTACTCTTTTTTTTATTTGTAAAAAAGCTAACATTTTTAAAAGTTTTTTATTCTAAAATAATCTAGTGGTTGGAATCACGATGTTGAATTGATGAGCCATAAAGTTATTAATTAATACTGAAGGAATTCTTTCTTGCAACATTTAGTAAATTTAAGGTATCTGATTAAGTAATTATTTTTATTTTGCATGACTTCAACGTTAACTTTTTTTAAATTTGATTTGACTTTTTTGACTTAATTAAAATGACTTATTTCTAACTCTAAACAACCCTAAAAAAAAATATGTTGCAGAATTGAAAAAAAACCCTAATAATATGGACGCAATGAATATGATAACAATGAGACACATAAGTTCATAATAATAATCCATTAATTAATTAATTAATTAAAAATCATCAAAATAAAGAAAGAAAAAGTTCTCTTTTCGAAATAATAGTTGTTCATATAAAAATTATTTGTTTTAATTGTTGATAAATGATAAAAATTTCACAAATAATTGGTTATATAATTTGCTATCGCATAAGAATAGAAAAAACTTATATTTTATTTTTTCATATTTATTTTTCCTCCACTTATATTTTATTTTTTAATAAAGTGAATTAATTTCCAAATTAATTTTGCAAAGACATTCCCAACGAATAATTTTTCAGCGTCAATTATTTCACTCATTTCATTTTAATGCAAATTATTCCATTTATTTGTTGTTTTAAATTAATGTAATCTTGCAATTTTAATTTTGTTTAATTAAACTTTTGCACGTATATTTAAAAATAATAAATAAAAATCAAAATTTAAAAAAAAAAATACTTTTTTTATTCCTCTCTTCTCACTTACTCTTCTTCACGACAATTCTTCATTTTCCCTTTCCATTTCTTAGTTTTATTTTATTTCATTTTTTCTTTCTAAGTTCCAACAGGCAGTTCGCACTTCATTTTTTGTTTTACCTTGTTTCAGTCACATAAAAAGATGATATCAAATCATATTAAAGGTAATTGATCGTAGGAAAAATTTAGTTGGATTGATTGAAGGTAGTCGTTGAATTGATGGAACATAGAAAGAGTACTGAGATAAATCAAATTGAAATTTGCTACCGTCAATACCTGAGATGAAGGTTGTCCCTCTCGAATGAACTTTATCATTTTATGGTTTCTAATTTTATGTAAATTGCTTCTAAGAGTAAATGCTAGATTAGAAGAACTCTATAATATTTTGACATTGCAAGATAAGCTTGATTGCAACTTAGCAATAAAATTGGAAGCAATTTTTAATATAATAAGCAATGCATATCTTTTTTTTACTAACAGATTTTAACAAGTTATCAACAAGCAAGTAAGAGTTTTAGAGATATTTTCATTTTATTCCGTTCTTGTAAAAATTTAAGTTAAAATATGTGTAAATGTGTACATGTTTATTTATCAATTTAATGTTTGTTTATCAATTTAATTTATTACCTTTATGCTTTCTTATATATTTATGTTACTACTTTCAAGTTTTGTGCAACATCAGAAATATAAAAGAAATTAATCATTTTATTGTGAGCTTTAATACAAAATACCAATCCATACATATATAAAATTATGAAAAGAATTAAAGGTAAAAAAGAAAGACAATAATAAATGGAATAAAAAGTTAAACAAACTGAATCTTTTTAAAATTGAACTTGAAATAGCATAAAATAATTTCATTTTACAGCTATGCTTCAATTAATTTCTCTGAGATATACGTACAACTCATATATTTGGCCAACTGTCAATGATAAGAACTGGGAATGAGTAATACTAGTGAATGTTGTTTTTATATGAAAACAATTTTTGATCAGCAATACGATTTGTGCTCGGAATTAAAAGGCGAGCGTCTGCGGGATGAAACGCCAATAAGATATTAAAAGTCTAAATTCAAAAACTTTTAGCACCAAAACATAAAAGTTAATTTCAAAGGAGAAGTAAAATGGAGAAGAGCAATGAGTTAAATCAAGAAAGCAGAGCGAGAATTTAATGAAATTCAATAACATAAATTATCACATCGCAAAGTTGAAATGATCAGTGAAGATTTTTGGAAAACTACAAAAAAACACAAAATAACTGGCAGAAATACTGTATAACAGAAGAAAGAAAAATTAAGAAGACAAAAAAGCAGGAATAATTCAAAAAAAGATGTCCGTATTATACCAATGAAAAATTACCGCCACTCCAACTACCTTTTACCGCCAATTCGTGCAACCTTTCAGAGAAATTCAACAAACCATTATTCATCGCTTACAGTCGCTCTTTCCGAATGAATAATAATGCACAATTTTCCGGATATTAACCTGTAGAATCTTCGCTGTTAATTGAGAAAAATTTATAAGAAAGCACCGACAAAGTCAAATTCCACGCAAAATCGATACCAAACGACAAAAATAGCGAAGGAATTTACAATCAAAGGTGTTGCCAATTTCTTTCTGATAGCAACAAAGATAGAAGAAGGCTGTTTCTCCTCTTTGTCTCAAATTCAGGTAATTAA